GTCCACGGGGGGGAGGGGCGGGAGAGAGAGGAGGACGAGAGGAGAAGAGGAAATGCGGGTCAGGGGAGGTGCTATGAGGGGCAGGGCAGGGGGGTGATGATAGCAGCAAGCACTGCAATAAGAGCCGCAGCATAAGCAAAGCAAAGCTCATTCCCCCCCACCTCCATGCGCATTTCCCCCCTGCACCGCACACCACCCCACCCCACCCAACACACTCACCATGTCGTGGCCGGCAGTTGGTGAGCTCGATGGAGGTGGCGACTCCCTCCCCCGCCATCTCCCTGACATGGCGGAACGGACGGCACGAGCAAACGGGGCAAAGCATGGGCAAAGGGGGCAACGCATGAGCAGAGGGGGAAAGGCATGGGCAGGGAGAACGGCATGAGCAGAGGGGGAAAGGCATGGGCAGGGAGAACGGCATGAGCAGAGGGGGAAAGGCATGCGCAAGGCGGGAATGCATGGGAAAGGCGGAAAGGCATGCGCAAGGCGGAAAGGCATGCGCAAGGCGGAAAGGCATGCGCAAGGCGGAAAGGCATGGGGAAGGCGGAAAGGCATGGGGAAGGCGGAAATGCATGGGCAAGGCGGAAAGGCAGGGGAAAGGCGGACATGCATGCGCAAGGCGGAAAAGGCATGGGAAAAGGGGGGAACGGCGCGCTGACCTGCTCCGCGTGCAGCATGCTCGCCGGTGCTGTCCGCGCGGCCAGCAGCGCGCGCGGCGCTACCTGGTGAGCGCGGTGGGCGCCGTCACGGCGGGTGGAGCGGCGGCGGGTAGGCGCTGCTACGCTGGAGCCTGTCGTCCCTGCACAGCAAGGGGAGGGAGGGGCAGAGGGAGAGCGGAGGAAGGGACGGAGGGAGAGAGCAACGAGAAACCAAGAAAGGCAAGAGGGGTTGAGGACTGAAGTGAACTGTTTGGAAAGAATGCTCACGTAGGAGAGAAATGGGAAACATAACGGGAATTCCAGGGAGAAAACAGATAAAGAGGACAAAACGAAATAAAGTAATAAAACAGTAGAACAAAACGGATTTTGCATGGCGCATGGCACACATGCAGTCGCATGGCGCACATGCAATCGCGTGCTCATGAAATTTCAGCGTGCGCACATGCAGTGACAGTGCGCACCTGCTGGAGGGAGGAATAAGGGCCCTCCCACAGTGCGGGAGGGATCCGCCGCCTATGTTGAATCCCATGGGGGAAGGAATTCGAAGTCTAACGTGGGGAAGGCATTTAAGACCACTGATCGAGATGGGAGAGAAGGAATGGAGATCGGGAGAGCGGAAAAAACGGAGACTAACGTGGGAGACGAAATTAGGAGATGAGCTGCGACCGATATGGGAGAGAATGAGTGGATCGGGAGAGCGGAGCTATGGAAAGTAACGTGGAAAATAATGGAGTTGAGATCGAAATGGGATGGGGATGGGATTGGGAGAGAAGCAAGGAAGGAGGAGTGGAGGAGATCGGGAGAGGAGTTGGAGAGGAGAGCAAGCAAGCAGATTTTGTTGACTCTCGCCACTGTAGCGCGAAATGACCAGCACCCTCGCCTCGGTCACCAAAACAGAAACGAATTGCAACTCTTCATACAAAAAAGGAACACTCCTCACCCTGGAACATGTAAACCTAAAACGAAAATAAGAGTGTACACCTAGAATCCACCTGCCCTGCACCAAAAAAACGATGGTGGGGACCAAATCTCAGAATTCACACACATTGCAAACCAAGTCGCGGAGCACAACACAAGCCTCCAATCCAAATCAAGTCGCTAAACACAAGTCGCGAAACATCCCACCGGTCCAATCAAACAGCACAAGCCATGCCAGCTAGCGCGGTCTGGGAAGTGACAGAAACGAGACTCGGATGATGTACAATCCAATATACAGTCATTGGTGCAGCGCTGGCGCGCTGCGCGATCCGCCTGGTGCCTGCAAACTTACTTTCTTATCAATCTATTCCCATGTACATGGGAATAGATTGATAAGAATGTAAGTTTGCATTTTCCTGGTTTATGTTTTCCTTCACGATGCATGCATTGTTATAAGCAAATATTCCAGAAAACAAGTGGGCTGACCCTGGTGTTGGTTGGTACATCTGCAGCAAAATCTTAGGCTAGCTAGTTCCTAGCTACCTATTTTTTAGCTATCTATTTGCTAGCTACCTAATTCCTGGCTAGTTATAGCCTGGCCTTGCCAATTCCTAGCTAGCCAATTTCTGGCCTGCCAACTCCTTGCTAACTCCTAGCCAATTCCTAGCTTGCTATTTCCTAGCTAGTAGCTAGTTAATTCCTAGCCAGCCAAATCATAGCTGGTAACTAGTTCCTAGCCAGCCACATCCTAGCAAGCTAATCCCTAGCTAGCTGCCGTAATTCCTAGTCAACCAAATCCTAACTACCGTAGCTAATTTGTAGATAGTTTACTACTCCTGGCTAACCTACGAGAAAGGGGCATCTGCGAGGGCGTGTTCCGGCTTCGTCTGTACGCGGTAAACACGATTGGATGTATCAGGGATGTGTCAGGAAGATGCTTCCTTGTGTCACACTCATTGTGGAGTTGATGAAAAGACTGACGTTGCAGATAATGACACCATCTCAAATCGACACGCAACAGGGCCTGGCCTGCAATCGTGCCAACCAAGCGATGGCCCGATACAAACACAGAGACTCAAAAGCTTGAAGCAATCTAATTCAGTAACGCACCACTCCATGCGCTTGACATTGATGTCATTCAACACAGAAACCTTGGTCGTCACGATGCAAGTGTGTAACACTCTATCATGCAGTTGCTTGAACCTAGTTTCACATCAACACGAAGCCACAAGGTACTTTATACGATACCTTGTGCACACCGATGCTGCTCTACTCTAAATATCCAGCCTCAGCATTCACCTAGGAGGCGGAATCCCTCCACCACCCGCACTGATATCATCCAGCTCAATCGTCCTATACTTCTGCGAAACCAGCTCCGCCTGCACCTTCCTGGCTGTATCGGTAGCGCATCCGACTAAAATGAGGATGGACGTTCCAGCAAACCCCCGGAAGGCCGTGAGGTGAGTGATTCCTTCCACAAGAGCCGGCGCTGCTGCCATCGTGCCGAGAAACGCCGACCCGAGCACCGAAATGCGGGTGAGGACCTGGTGTTAAGTAGTTAAAGAAGCAAGAGTAATGGGGAGAAAGGGAGAAGGGGATGGGAGGGGGAAGGAGAAGCCAAAGAGGGAAAGGAAACACGAGTGGGGAAAGGGCTGAGAGGGAGCCGGCCAGGAGTCATCATGGAGTGTTTGCGAGGCCAAACGGAGCTTGGTGATGAGCATGGCTGCTGCCTTGCCAGGCCTGGTGTAGGCCACAGACGCGCCCTGCCTCTTGAGAAAGTGGGCCGTATGCCGGATTTACGAACGTACAATGAGTGAACAAGGGCGACTCACCTTGGTGATGAGTGCGGCTGTTGCTTTGCCGGGCCTCGTGTTGGGTACGGACGCACCCTGCCTCTTGAGCTGGTCGCTGACATCAGCAGGGTCGAGTTGCAGGAAGGTGTAGAAGTAGTTGAAGAAGGCAATGAGTGCCACGTTGGCGGGGAGGTAGAAGAAACCTGGGGATTAGCGGAACACATGGGGAGAGAGGATGTTGATTGAAGATGCAAGGAGAAAGAAAGGAGAAGGAGCGAGTAAGTGAGTTGCAGGAAGGTGTAGAAGTAGTTGAGAAAGGCGAACAGTGCCACGTTAGCAGGCAGATAGAAGAAACCTGGAGATTAGCGGAACACATGGGGAGAGAGGATGTTGATTGAAGATGCAAGGAGAAAGAAAGGAGAAGGAGCGAGTAAGTGAGTTGCAGGAAGGTGTGGAAGTAGTTGAGAAAGGCGAACAGTGCCACGTTAGCAGGCAGATAGAAGAAACCTGGAGATTAGCGGAACACATGGGGAGAGAGGATGTTGATTGAAGATGCAAGGAGAAAGAAAGGAGAAGGAGCGAGTAAGTGAGTTGCAGGAAGGTGTGGAAGTAGTTGAAGAATGCAATCAGTGCCACGTTGGCGGGGAGGTAGAAGAAACCTGGGGATGAGTGGAGCAGGGAAATCAAAGGGAGTGGAGGAGGGAGAGGGAGCAGGGAGAGGAGTGAGTGAGTTGCAGGAAGGTGTAGAAGTAGTTGAAGAATGCGATGAGTGCCACGTTGGCAGGCGGGTAGAGGAGACCTGGGGATTAGTGGAACACATGGTGGTAAAAAGAGTGAGAGGATGACGGAAAAGCAGAGTGATAAATTTGCAGTAAGGTGTAGAAGTAGTTGAAGAAAGCGATCAGTGCCACGTTGGCAGGCAGATAGATCGGTAAAGCGAGCTATGGAGTAGGGAGCAGGAGCAGTCTGGTTACCCTATTACTGACCTGTGGTTACCATGTAACATACCTCCAGGGTAGAGAGCTGTAGCAGCGGACTGGAAAGCAGCACTTCCGGTAAAGCGAGCGATGGAGTAGGGAGCAGCGAGGAGCGAGGAAGAGAAGATAATTGGCATGACTCCCGTTGAGTTGACCTGCAGAGGGGGGAAGAGGAAGAGACGGGTAGAGGGTAGATGAGAAAGATGTTGATCCGAGAGGGTGGAACATAAGAAAGACGAAGGAGAGAGGAGGAGAAGACGATTGGCATGACTTTCGTTGAGTTGACCTGCGGGGGGGATTAGAGGTTGGATAAGAGAAAAGAGGTGGTTGTGAGAGAGGGGTGGTTGGAGAGAATGGGTAGATGAGAGAGAAAGGAACGGCAGATAATTGAGAAGAGAGGAGTAAACGTGAGGCATGGCTTCTGTTGAGTTGAGTGTGGGGGTTGGTGGGGGGGGGGGGGGGAAGGGTGAGTGAGTGAGGGGTCGATGCAAGAAAAAGAAAGCGGTGTGTTACATTCGCGGGAGAGATGCTACCTTCGAGGGGGAGGTGTTACCTTCCAGGGGGAGGTGCTGCCTTTCAGGGGGAGGTGTAACCTTCCAGAGGGAGGTGCTGCCTTTCAGGGGGAGGTGTTGCCTTTCAGGGGGAGGTGTTACCTTGAATGGCAGGTACGCATTCCGCGTCTTGATGTTGTACCGAGACGCATAGTTGATTGGAATACGCCGCTCTGCCTCCTGCTCGGTGGAAGGGATTAAGTTGTGGTGGTGGTGGGGGTGGTGGGGGTGGTAGGGGGAGTGGGAAGAACGGAGAAAAGAGGACGGGGAATTTGAATTGGTTGTATCGAGACACATAGTTGACGGGAATACGCCGCTCTGCTTCCTGCTTGGAGGGAAAGGGGTAGTGGATAGGGTAGAGGGTGGGAGGGGAAGGGGAGGAGAGGGTAGAAAGAGAGTAGAGGGTGAGATGGTGCATGGGGTTGGTTGTACCGTTATGCGTAGTTGATGGGGATGTGACACTCTGCCTCCTACTCGGAGGGAAGGGGGAAGTTGGAGCTGGTTGTAGCGGCACATAGTTGTTGGGAATGCGACTCCCCGCCTTCTGCTCAGAAGGCTGGCAGGCAGGCCGGCAGAGAGGCATAGAGCAGGAACCCACCTGCACCCATTCACACCCACCTGCACGTAGACAATCCCAAGGACGAGCAGCAGGAAGGAGGCCAGCAGCAGCGCCTCGCCGGTAACGTTCCCCTGCTCAGACGCCTCTGTGATGCAGGTAGGCAGGCAGGAGGAATATAGCACACCCATCCACACCCATCTGTACCGCACCCACCTGCACGTAGACGATGCCGAACACGAGCAGCAGGAAGGACGCGAGCAGCAGCGCCTCTCCGGTCACATTCCCTTGTTCAGAAGCCTCTGTGATCGTCCTCCCAATGGACGCCGGCAGGTAGGAAACGATATTGGTGAAGATGAGCAGAGAGGTGCCGTTGCCGAGCTTGAGATCAGTGATCTTGTCTCCCAGCAGGATGACTGCCACGGATCCCAAAGTGAGGCCCGAGACGGCGGAGACTGCCCAGGCGACCGACGGGTCGTAGGCGTACTGCTGTAGATATGCCACCTGTCCGATAGCCTGGGAGGAGGGCGAGAGGCAGGGAGGAAGGGAGAGCTTGAGGTGGGTGATCCTGTCTCCCAGGAGGATGACTGCCACGGATCCGACAGTCAGGCCTGAGACGGCTGAGACTGCCCAGGCGACCGAGGGGTCGTAGGCGTACTGCTGCAGATATGCCACCTGTCCGATTGCCTGGGAGGAGGGCGAGAGGCAGGGAGGAAGGGAGAGCTTGAGGTGGGTGATCCTGTCTCCCAGGAGGATGACTGCCACGGATCCGACAGTCAGGCCTGAGACGGCTGAGACTGCCCAAGCGACTGATGGGTCGTATGCGTACTGCTGCAGGTAGGCCACTTGGCCGATAGCCTGGGGAGTGGAGGGGGGCAGGGAGAAGGAGAGCTTGAGGTGGGTCGGTGATCTTGTCTCCCCGCAGTGGGGCGACTGAGGGGTCGTATGCGTACAACTGGAGGTAGGCCACTTGGCCTATGGCCTGGGGAGTGGAGGGGGAAGAATAGGGTGGGAAGCGGTGGGGTTGGGTTGAGGAGGGGCGACTGAGTGGTCGTATGCGTACTGCTGGAGGTAGGCCACTTGGCCGATAGCCTGTTGGCAGTGGAGGGGGGCAGGGAGAAGGAGAGCTTGAGGTGGGTCGGTGATCTTGTCTCCCCGCACGATGACTGCTACGGACCCGAGGCGCTCGTAATCTAGTAAAGACAAGAAGAATGTAATGAAATCAGGTAACGTACCTGCAGGGCACCGAACGCCACAGCCATATACTTCATGTACTGCTGCGCTTTCTTCCTCCCCGCCTCCCCCTCCTTCTTCTGCAGATCCCCAATCTTAGGGTACAGCGTCCCCAGCAGCTGGAACACGATCTGAGCGTTGATATACGGCACGATGCCCAGCGAAAACAATCCCAGCCGTCCAATCCCGCCCCCTGAGAGCGTGTCTAGGGTGGCCAGGAATGAGCCCTCCCCCAGTTGCTCCTGGAAGGCGGAGATATCGACGCCCCACAGGGGAATGTAGATTCCCACGCGGGATAGCGCGAGCAGACCCAGGAGCATGAGGAATTTCTTGGGTAAATCGCCCTTGAAAAAGTCGCCGATGTCGATCTTGCTGTCCTCCACTGGAAAGGTGGTGCGGGTCAGGTCAGGGGAGAGGTGGAAACGGGAGGCAGAGGGGGGAGAAAGAGGAGGGAGAACAAGGCAGAGAAAGGCAGAGAGATATAGTGGGAAGGCGGGGAGGAGGGATGAGGGAGAGATTGAAGCAGGGGAGGAAAAAAGGAAGAGGGAATTCGGTTTAGTCTTTTTTTTTTCCCTCGCCCCCCCAAGTCCCCCAAGTCCCCCCCCCCCTCCCCCCCACCCGGGGGGGGATGGAGGGTGGGGGAGAGGGGACAGGGGGGACGGGAGGGTGGGAGGAAAGGAATAACATTCTGATGTATGTATTGAAATAATATCACAATCAAGAATCACGGAATATTCTCTCAAATTCAAGCTAGAATCAGCCAACCAGGCTTTGTGACTGTGACTGTAATGAAGGTGGCTGTAATGAAGGCGACTCGACCCGGGGGTTACTGCAATGAAGGCGACTCGACTCGGGGGTGACTGCAATGAAGGCGACTCGACTCGGGGGTGACTGCAATGAAGGCGACTCGACTCGGGGGTGACTGTAATGAATGCGACTCGACCCGGGATTGACTGTAATGAAGGCGACTCGACTCGCGGTCGGCGTGACTATAACCAAGTTCAGGGCGGCATGGCCAGCCTCCTGTCAAGAGAGCATGCCACGTCAGCACTTGTTGCCACGTCAGCAGGACCTGGGTTGAGGTAGGGCCTGGGTCCGGTTCGGGTATGGGCTGCCTCACGTCTCTGCCCCGGGCCTCACGTCTCTGCCCCGGGCCTCACATCTCTGCCCCGGGCCTCACGTCTCTGCCCCGGGCCTCACATCTCTGCCCCGGGCCTCACATCTCTGCCCCGGGCCTCACGTCTCTGCCCCGGGCCTCACGTCTCTGCCCCGGGCCTCACATCTCTGCCCCGGGCCTCACATCTCTGCCCCGGGCCTCACATCTCTGCCCCGGGCCTCACATCTCTGCCCCGGGCCTCAATACCTACCATAACCAACAAACACCACCTAACATTATCTACCACAGAAACATAACATAATCCTAAACAGCACCTAAGTAAGTTTGATGCATTTTTTGTGAACATTTCTAGACATTACTACGGTACGGGGAATCTTTATCGCACCTGCAATTCGTAGTGGCACCTGTGCAAGGTCCACGGGGGGGAGGGGCGGGAGAGAGAGGAGGACGAGAGGAGAAGAGGAAATGCGGGTCAGGGGAGGTGCTATGAGGGGCAGGGCAGGGGGGTGATGATAGCAGCAAGCACTGCAATAAGAGCCGCAGCATAAGCAAGCAAAGCTCATTCCCCCCCACCTCCATGCGCATTTCCCCCCTGCACCGCACACCACCCCACCCCACCCAACACACTCACCATGTCGTGGCCGGCAGTTGGTGAGCTCGATGGAGGTGGCGACTCCCTCCCCCGCCATCTCCCTGACATGGCGGAACGGACGGCACGAGCAAACGGGGCAAAGCATGGGCAAAGGGGGCAACGCATGAGCAGAGGGGGAAAGGCATGGGCAGGGAGAACGGCATGAGCAGAGGGGGAAAGGCATGGGCAGGGAGAACGGCATGAGCAGAGGGGGAAAGGCATGCGCAAGGCGGGAATGCATGGGAAAGGCGGAAAGGCATGCGCAAGGCGGAAAGGCATGCGCAAGGCGGAAAGGCATGCGCAAGGCGGAAAGGCATGGGGAAGGCGGAAAGGCATGGGGAAGGCGGAAATGCATGGGCAAGGCGGAAAGGCAGGGGAAAGGCGGACATGCATGCGCAAGGCGGAAAGGCATGGGAAAAGGGGGGAACGGCGCGCTGACCTGCTCCGCGTGCAGCATGCTCGCCGGTGCTGTCCGCGCGGCCAGCAGCGCGCGCGGCGCTACCTGGTGAGCGCGGTGGGCGCCGTCACGGCGGGTGGAGCGGCGGCGGGTAGGCGCTGCTACGCTGGAGCCTGTCGTCCCTGCACAGCAAGGGGAGGGAGGGGCAGAGGGAGAGCGGAGGAAGGGACGGAGGGAGAGAGCAACGAGAAACCAAGAAAGGCAAGAGGGGTTGAGGACTGAAGTGAACTGTTTGGAAAGAATGCTCACGTAGGAGAGAAATGGGAAACATAACGGGAATTCCAGGGAGAAAACAGATAAAGAGGACAAAACGAAATAAAGTAATAAAACAGTAGAACAAAACGGATTTTGCATGGCGCATGGCACACATGCAGTCGCATGGCGCACATGCAATCGCGTGCTCATGAAATTTCAGCGTGCGCACATGCAGTGACAGTGCGCACCTGCTGGAGGGAGGAATAAGGGCCCTCCCACAGTGCGGGAGGGATCCGCCGCCTATGTTGAATCCCATGGGGGAAGGAATTCGAAGTCTAACGTGGGGAAGGCATTTAAGACCACTGATCGAGATGGGAGAGAAGGAATGGAGATCGGGAGAGCGGAAAAACGGAGACTAACGTGGGAGACGAAATTAGGAGATGAGCTGCGACCGATATGGGAGAGAATGAGTGGATCGGGAGAGCGGAGCTATGGAAAGTAACGTGGAAAATAATGGAGTTGAGATCGAAATGGGATGGGGATGGGATTGGGAGAGAAGCAAGGAAGGAGGAGTGGAGGAGATCGGGAGAGGAGTTGGAGAGGAGAGCAAGCAAGCAGATTTTGTTGACTCTCGCCACTGTAGCGCGAAATGACCAGCACCCTCGCCTCGGTCACCAAAACAGAAACGAATTGCAACTCTTCATACAAAAAAGGAACACTCCTCACCCTGGAACATGTAAACCTAAAACGAAAATAAGAGTGTACACCTAGAATCCACCTGCCCTGCACCAAAAAAACGATGGTGGGGACCAAATCTCAGAATTCACACACATTGCAAACCAAGTCGCGGAGCACAACACAAGCCTCCAATCCAAATCAAGTCGCTAAACACAAGTCGCGAAACATCCCACCGGTCCAATCAAACAGCACAAGCCATGCCAGCTAGCGCGGTCTGGGAAGTGACAGAAACGAGACTCGGATGATGTACAATCCAATATACAGTCATTGGTGCAGCGCTGGCGCGCTGCGCGATCCGCCTGGTGCCTGCAAACTTACTTTCTTATCAATCTATTCCCATGTACATGGGAATAGATTGATAAGAATGTAAGTTTGCATTTTCCTGGTTTATGTTTTCCTTCACGATGCATGCATTGTTATAAGCAAATATTCCAGAAAACAAGTGGGCTGACCCTGGTGTTGGTTGGTACATCTGCAGCAAAATCTTAGGCTAGCTAGTTCCTAGCTACCTATTTTTTAGCTATCTATTTGCTAGCTACCTAATTCCTGGCTAGTTATAGCCTGGCCTTGCCAATTCCTAGCTAGCCAATTTCTGGCCTGCCAACTCCTTGCTAACTCCTAGCCAATTCCTAGCTTGCTATTTCCTAGCTAGTAGCTAGTTAATTCCTAGCCAGCCAAATCATAGCTGGTAACTAGTTCCTAGCCAGCCACATCCTAGCAAGCTAATCCCTAGCTAGCTGCCGTAATTCCTAGTCAACCAAATCCTAACTACCGTAGCTAATTTGTAGATAGTTTACTACTCCTGGCTAACCTACGAGAAAGGGGCATCTGCGAGGGCGTGTTCCGGCTTCGTCTGTACGCGGTAAACACGATTGGATGTATCAGGGATGTGTCAGGAAGATGCTTCCTTGTGTCACACTCATTGTGGAGTTGATGAAAAGACTGACGTTGCAGATAATGACACCATCTCAAATCGACACGCAACAGGGCCTGGCCTGCAATCGTGCCAACCAAGCGATGGCCCGATACAAACACAGAGACTCAAAAGCTTGAAGCAATCTAATTCAGTAACGCACCACTCCATGCGCTTGACATTGATGTCATTCAACACAGAAACCTTGGTCGTCACGATGCAAGTGTGTAACACTCTATCATGCAGTTGCTTGAACCTAGTTTCACATCAACACGAAGCCACAAGGTACTTTATACGATACCTTGTGCACACCGATGCTGCTCTACTCTAAATATCCAACCTCAGCATTCACCTAGGAGGCGGAATCCCTCCACCACCCGCACTGATATCATCCAGCTCAATCGTCCTATACTTCTGCGAAACCAGCTCCGCCTGCACCTTCCTGGCTGTATCGGTAGCGCATCCGACTAAAATGAGGATGGACGTTCCAGCAAACCCCCGGAAGGCCGTGAGGTGAGTGATTCCTTCCACAAGAGCCGGCGCTGCTGCCATCGTGCCGAGAAACGCCGACCCGAGCACCGAAATGCGGGTGAGGACCTGGTGTTAAGTAGTTAAAGAAGCAAGAGTAATGGGGAGAAAGGGAGAAGGGGATGGGAGGGGGAAGGAGAAGCCAAAGAGGGAAAGGAAACACGAGTGGGGAAAGGGCTGAGAGGGAGCCGGCCAGGAGTCATCATGGAGTGTTTGCGAGGCCAAACGGAGCTTGGTGATGAGCATGGCTGCTGCCTTGCCAGGCCTGGTGTAGGCCACAGACGCGCCCTGCCTCTTGAGAAAGTGGGCCGTATGCCGGATTTACGAACGTACAATGAGTGAACAAGGGCGACTCACCTTGGTGATGAGTGCGGCTGTTGCTTTGCCGGGCCTCGTGTTGGGTACGGACGCACCCTGCCTCTTGAGCTGGTCGCTGACATCAGCAGGGTCGAGTTGCAGGAAGGTGTAGAAGTAGTTGAAGAAGGCAATGAGTGCCACGTTGGCGGGGAGGTAGAAGAAACCTGGGGATTAGCGGAACACATGGGGAGAGAGGATGTTGATTGAAGATGCAAGGAGAAAGAAAGGAGAAGGAGCGAGTAAGTGAGTTGCAGGAAGGTGTAGAAGTAGTTGAGAAAGGCGAACAGTGCCACGTTAGCAGGCAGATAGAAGAAACCTGGAGATTAGCGGAACACATGGGGAGAGAGGATGTTGATTGAAGATGCAAGGAGAAAGAAAGGAGAAGGAGCGAGTAAGTGAGTTGCAGGAAGGTGTGGAAGTAGTTGAGAAAGGCGAACAGTGCCACGTTAGCAGGCAGATAGAAGAAACCTGGAGATTAGCGGAACACATGGGGAGAGAGGATGTTGATTGAAGATGCAAGGAGAAAGAAAGGAGAAGGAGCGAGTAAGTGAGTTGCAGGAAGGTGTGGAAGTAGTTGAAGAATGCAATCAGTGCCACGTTGGCGGGGAGGTAGAAGAAACCTGGGGATGAGTGGAGCAGGGAAATCAAAGGGAGTGGAGGAGGGAGAGGGAGCAGGGAGAGGAGTGAGTGAGTTGCAGGAAGGTGTAGAAGTAGTTGAAGAATGCGATGAGTGCCACGTTGGCAGGCGGGTAGAGGAGACCTGGGGATTAGTGGAACACATGGTGGTAAAAAGAGTGAGAGGATGACGGAAAAGCAGAGTGATAAATTTGCAGTAAGGTGTAGAAGTAGTTGAAGAAAGCGATCAGTGCCACGTTGGCAGGCAGATAGATCGGTAAAGCGAGCTATGGAGTAGGGAGCAGGAGCAGTCTGGTTACCCTATTACTGACCTGTGGTTACCATGTAACATACCTCCAGGGTAGAGAGCTGTAGCAGCGGACTGGAAAGCAGCACTTCCGGTAAAGCGAGCGATGGAGTAGGGAGCAGCGAGGAGCGAGGAAGAGAAGATAATTGGCATGACTCCCGTTGAGTTGACCTGCAGAGGGGGGAAGAGGAAGAGACGGGTAGAGGGTAGATGAGAAAGATGTTGATCCGAGAGGGTGGAACATAAGAAAGACGAAGGAGAGAGGAGGAGAAGACGATTGGCATGACTTTCGTTGAGTTGACCTGCGGGGGGGATTAGAGGTTGGATAAGAGAAAAGAGGTGGTTGTGAGAGAGGGGTGGTTGGAGAGAATGGGTAGATGAGAGAGAAAGGAACGGCAGATAATTGAGAAGAGAGGAGTAAACGTGAGGCATGGCTTCTGTTGAGTTGAGTGTGGGGGTTGGTGGGGGGGGGGGGGGGAAGGGTGAGTGAGTGAGGGGTCGATGCAAGAAAAAGAAAGCGGTGTGTTACATTCGCGGGAGAGATGCTACCTTCGAGGGGGAGGTGTTACCTTCCAGGGGGAGGTGCTGCCTTTCAGGGGGAGGTGTAACCTTCCAGAGGGAGGTGCTGCCTTTCAGGGGGAGGTGTTGCCTTTCAGGGGGAGGTGTTACCTTGAATGGCAGGTACGCATTCCGCGTCTTGATGTTGTACCGAGACGCATAGTTGATTGGAATACGCCGCTCTGCCTCCTGCTCGGTGGAAGGGATTAAGTTGTGGTGGTGGTGGGGGTGGTGGGGGTGGTAGGGGGAGTGGGAAGAACGGAGAAAAGAGGACGGGGAATTTGAATTGGTTGTATCGAGACACATAGTTGACGGGAATACGCCGCTCTGCTTCCTGCTTGGAGGGAAAGGGGTAGTGGATAGGGTAGAGGGTGGGAGGGGAAGGGGAGGAGAGGGTAGAAAGAGAGTAGAGGGTGAGATGGTGCATGGGGTTGGTTGTACCGTTATGCGTAGTTGATGGGGATGTGACACTCTGCCTCCTACTCGGAGGGAAGGGGGAAGTTGGAGCTGGTTGTAGCGGCACATAGTTGTTGGGAATGCGACTCCCCGCCTTCTGCTCAGAAGGCTGGCAGGCAGGCCGGCAGAGAGGCATAGAGCAGGAACCCACCTGCACCCATTCACACCCACCTGCACGTAGACAATCCCAAGGACGAGCAGCAGGAAGGAGGCCAGCAGCAGCGCCTCGCCGGTAACGTTCCCCTGCTCAGACGCCTCTGTGATGCAGGTAGGCAGGCAGGAGGAATATAGCACACCCATCCACACCCATCTGTACCGCACCCACCTGCACGTAGACGATGCCGAACACGAGCAGCAGGAAGGACGCGAGCAGCAGCGCCTCTCCGGTCACATTCCCTTGTTCAGAAGCCTCTGTGATCGTCCTCCCAATGGACGCCGGCAGGTAGGAAACGATATTGGTGAAGATGAGCAGAGAGGTGCCGTTGCCGAGCTTGAGATCAGTGATCTTGTCTCCCAGCAGGATGACTGCCACGGATCCCAAAGTGAGGCCCGAGACGGCGGAGACTGCCCAGGCGACCGACGGGTCGTAGGCGTACTGCTGTAGATATGCCACCTGTCCGATAGCCTGGGAGGAGGGCGAGAGGCAGGGAGGAAGGGAGAGCTTGAGGTGGGTGATCCTGTCTCCCAGGAGGATGACTGCCACGGATCCGACAGTCAGGCCTGAGACGGCTGAGACTGCCCAGGCGACCGAGGGGTCGTAGGCGTACTGCTGCAGATATGCCACCTGTCCGATTGCCTGGGAGGAGGGCGAGAGGCAGGGAGGAAGGGAGAGCTTGAGGTGGGTGATCCTGTCTCCCAGGAGGATGACTGCCACGGATCCGACAGTCAGGCCTGAGACGGCTGAGACTGCCCAAGCGACTGATGGGTCGTATGCGTACTGCTGCAGGTAGGCCACTTGGCCGATAGCCTGGGGAGTGGAGGGGGGCAGGGAGAAGGAGAGCTTGAGGTGGGTCGGTGATCTTGTCTCCCCGCAGTGGGGCGACTGAGGGGTCGTATGCGTACAACTGGAGGTAGGCCACTTGGCCTATGGCCTGGGGAGTGGAGGGGGAAGAATAGGGTGGGAAGCGGTGGGGTTGGGTTGAGGAGGGGCGACTGAGTGGTCGTATGCGTACTGCTGGAGGTAGGCCACTTGGCCGATAGCCTGTTGGCAGTGGAGGGGGGCAGGGAGAAGGAGAGCTTGAGGTGGGTCGGTGATCTTGTCTCCCCGCACGATGACTGCTACGGACCCGAGGCGCTCGTAATCTAGTAAAGACAAGAAGAATGTAATGAAATCAGGTAACGTACCTGCAGGGCACCGAACGCCACAGCCATATACTTCATGTACTGCTGCGCTTTCTTCCTCCCCGCCTCCCCCTCCTTCTTCTGCAGATCCCCAATCTTAGGGTACAGCGTCCCCAGCAGCTGGAACACGATCTGAGCGTTGATATACGGCACGATGCCCAGCGAAAACAATCCCAGCCGTCCAATCCCGCCCCCTGAGAGCGTGTCTAGGGTGGCCAGGAATGAGCCCTCCCCCAGTTGCTCCTGGAAGGCGGAGATATCGACGCCCCACAGGGGAATGTAGATTCCCACGCGGGATAGCGCGAGCAGACCCAGGAGCATGAGGAATTTCTTGGGTAAATCGCCCTTGAAAAAGTCGCCGATGTCGATCTTGCTGTCCTCCACTGGAAAGGTGGTGCGGGTCAGGTCAGGGGAGAGGTGGAAACGGGAGGCAGAGGGGGGAGAAAGAGGAGGGAGAACAAGGCAGAGAAAGGCAGAGAGATATAGTGGGAAGGCGGGGAGGAGGGATGAGGGAGAGATTGAAGCAGGGGAGGAAAAAAGGAAGAGGGAATTCGGTTTAGTCTTTTTTTTTTCCCTCGCCCCCCCAAGTCCCCCAAGTCCCCCCCCCCCTCCCCCCCACCCGGGGGGGGATGGAGGGTGGGGGAGAGGGGACAGGGGGGACGGGAGGGTGGGAGGAAAGGAATAACATTCTGATGTATGTATTGAAATAATATCACAATCAAGAATCACGGAATATTCTCTCAAATTCAAGCTAGAATCAGCCAACCAGGCTTTGTGACTGTGACTGTAATGAAGGTGGCTGTAATGAAGGCGACTCGACCCGGGGGTTACTGCAATGAAGGCGACTCGACTCGGGGGTGACTGCAATGAAGGCGACTCGACTCGGGGGTGACTGCAATGAAGGCGACTCGACTCGGGGGTGACTGCAATGAAGGCGACTCGACTCGGGGGTGACTGTAATGAATGCGACTCGACCCGGGATTGACTGTAATGAAGGCGACTCGACTCGCGGTCGGCGTGACTATAACCAAGTTCAGGGCGGCATGGCCAGCCTCCTGTCAAGAGAGCATGCCACGTCAGCACTTGTTGCCACGTCAGCAGGACCTGGGTTGAGGTAGGGCCTGGGTCCGGTTCGGGTATGGGCTGCCTCACGTCTCTGCCCCGGGCCTCACGTCTCTGCCCCGGGCCTCACATCTCTGCCCCGGGCCTCACGTCTCTGCCCCGGGCCTCACATCTCTGCCCCGGGCCTCACATCTCTGCCCCGGGCCTCACGTCTCTGCCCCGGGCCTCACGTCTCTGCCCCGGGCCTCACATCTCTGCCCCGGGCCTCACATCTCTGCCCCGGGCCTCACATCTCTGCCCCGGGCCTCACATCTCTGCCCCGGGCCTCAATACCTACCATAACCAACAAACACCACCTAACATTATCTACCACAGAAACATAACATAATCCTAAACAGCACCTAAGTAAGTTTGATGCATTTTTTGTGAACATTTCTAGACATTACTACGGTACGGGGAATCTTTATCGCACCTGCAATTCGTAGTGGCACCTGTGCAAGGTCCACGGGGGGGAGGGGCGGGAGAGAGAGGAGGACGAGAGGAGAAGAGGAAATGCGGGTCAGGGGAGGTGCTATGAGGGGCAGGGCAGGGGGGTGATGATAGCAGCAAGCACTGCAATAAGAGCCGCAGCATAAGCAAGCAAAGCTCATTCCCCCCCACCTCCATGCGCATTTCCCCCCTGCACCGCACACCACCCCACCCCACCCAACACACTCACCATGTCGTGGCCGGCAGTTGGTGAGCTCGATGGAGGTGGCGACTCCCTCCCCCGCCATCTCCCTGACATGGCGGAACGGACGGCACGAGCAAACGGGGCAAAGCATGGGCAAAGGGGGCAACGCATGAGCAGAGGGGGAAAGGCATGGGCAGGGAGAACGGCATGAGCAGAGGGGGAAAGGCATGGGCAGGGAGAACGGCATGAGCAGAGGGGGAAAGGCATGCGCAAGGCGGGAATGCATGGGAAAGGCGGAAAGGCATGCGCAAGGCGGAAAGGCATGCGCAAGGCGGAAAGGCATGCGCAAGGCGGAAAGGCATGGGGAAGGCGGAAAGGCATGGGGAAGGCGGAAATGCATGGGCAAGGCGGAAAGGCAGGGGAAAGGCGGACATGCATGCGCAAGGCGGAAAGGCATGGGAAAAGGGGGGAACGGCGCGCTGACCTGCTCCGCGTGCAGCATGCTCGCCGGTGCTGTCCGCGCGGCCAGCAGCGCGCGCGGCGCTACCTGGTGAGCGCGGTGGGCGCCGTCACGGCGGGTGGAGCGGCGGCGGGTAGGCGCTGCTACGCTGGAGCCTGTCGTCCCTGCACAGCAAGGGGAGGGAGGGGCAGAGGGAGAGCGGAGGAAGGGACGGAGGGAGAGAGCAACGAGAAACCAAGAAAGGCAAGAGGGGTTGAGGACTGAAGTGAACTGTTTGGAAAGAATGCTCACGTAGGAGAGAAATGGGAAACATAACGGGAATTCCAGGGAGAAAACAGATAAAGAGGACAAAACGAAATAAAGTAATAAAACAGTAGAACAAAACGGATTTTGCATGGCGCATGGCACACATGCAGTCGCATGGCGCACATGCAATCGCGTGCTCATGAAATTTCAGCGTGCGCACATGCAGTGACAGTGCGCACCTGCTGGAGGGAGGAATAAGGGCCCTCCCACAGTGCGGGAGGGATCCGCCGCCTATGTTGAATCCCATGGGGGAAGGAATTCGAAGTCTAACGTGGGGAAGGCATTTAAGACCACTGATCGAGATGGGAGAGAAGGAATGGAGATCGGGAGAGCGGAAAAACGGAGACTAACGTGGGAGACGAAATTAGGAGATGAGCTGCGACCGATATGGGAGAGAATGAGTGGATCGGGAGAGCGGAGCTATGGAAAGTAACGTGGAAAATAATGGAGTTGAGATCGAAATGGGATGGGGATGGGATTGGGAGAGAAGCAAGGAAGGAGGAGTGGAGGAGATCGGGAGAGGAGTTGGAGAGGAGAGCAAGCAAGCAGATTTTGTTGACTCTCGCCACTGTAGCGCGAAATGACCAGCACCCTCGCCTCGGTCACCAAAACAGAAACGAATTGCAACTCTTCATACAAAAAAGGAACACTCCTCACCCTGGAACATGTAAACCTAAAACGAAAATAAGAGTGTACACCTAGAATCCACCTGCCCTGCACCAAAAAAACGATGGTGGGGACCAAATCTCAGAATTCACACACATTGCAAACCAAGTCGCGGAGCACAACACAAGCCTCCAATCCAAATCAAGTCGCTAAACACAAGTCGCGAAACATCCCACCGGTCCAATCAAACAGCACAAGCCATGCCAGCTAGCGCGGTCTGGGAAGTGACAGAAACGAGACTCGGATGATGTACAATCCAATATACAGTCATTGGTGCAGCGCTGGCGCGCTGCGCGATCCGCCTGGTGCCTGCAAACTTACTTTCTTATCAATCTATTCCCATGTACATGGGAATAGATTGATAAGAATGTAAGTTTGCATTTTCCTGGTTTATGTTTTCCTTCACGATGCATGCATTGTTATAAGCAAATATTCCAGAAAACAAGTGGGCTGACCCTGGTGTTGGTTGGTACATCTGCAGCAAAATCTTAGGCTAGCTAGTTCCTAGCTACCTATTTTTTAGCTATCTATTTGCTAGCTACCTAATTCCTGGCTAGTTATAGCCTGGCCTTGCCAATTCCTAGCTAGCCAATTTCTGGCCTGCCAACTCCTTGCTAACTCCTAGCCAATTCCTAGCTTGCTATTTCCTAGCTAGTAGCTAGTTAATTCCTAGCCAGCCAAATCATAGCTGGTAACTAGTTCCTAGCCAGCCACATCCTAGCAAGCTAATCCCTAGCTAGCTGCCGTAATTCCTAGTCAACCAAATCCTAACTACCGTAGCTAATTTGTAGATAGTTTACTACTCCTGGCTAACCTACGAGAAAGGGGCATCTGCGAGGGCGTGTTCCGGCTTCGTCTGTACGCGGTAAACACGATTGGATGTATCAGGGATGTGTCAGGAAGATGCTTCCTTGTGTCACACTCATTGTGGAGTTGATGAAAAGACTGACGTTGCAGATAATGACACCATCTCAAATCGACACGCAACAGGGCCTGGCCTGCAATCGTGCCAACCAAGCGATGGCCCGATACAAACACAGAGACTCAAAAGCTTGAAGCAATCTAATTCAGTAACGCACCACTCCATGCGCTTGACATTGATGTCATTCAACACAGAAACCTTGGTCGTCACGATGCAAGTGTGTAACACTCTATCATGCAGTTGCTTGAACCTAGTTTCACATCAACACGAAGCCACAAGGTACTTTATACGATACCTTGTGCACACCGATGCTGCTCTACTCTAAATATCCAGCCTCAGCATTCACCTAGGAGGCGGAATCCCTCCACCACCCGCACTGATATCATCCAGCTCAATCGTCCTATACTTCTGCGAAACCAGCTCCGCCTGCACCTTCCTGGCTGTATCGGTAGCGCATCCGACTAAAATGAGGATGGACGTTCCAGCAAACCCCCGGAAGGCCGTGAGGTGAGTGATTCCTTCCACAAGAGCCGGCGCTGCTGCCATCGTGCCGAGAAACGCCGACCCGAGCACCGAAATGCGGGTGAGGACCTGGTGTTAAGTAGTTAAAGAAGCAAGAGTAATGGGGAGAAAGGGAGAAGGGGATGGGAGGGGGAAGGAGAAGCCAAAGAGGGAAAGGAAACACGAGTGGGGAAAGGGCTGAGAGGGAGCCGGCCAGGAGTCATCATGGAGTGTTTGCGAGGCCAAACGGAGCTTGGTGATGAGCATGGCTGCTGCCTTGCCAGGCCTGGTGTAGGCCACAGACGCGCCCTGCCTCTTGAGAAAGTGGGCCGTATGCCGGATTTACGAACGTACAATGAGTGAACAAGGGCGACTCACCTTGGTGATGAGTGCGGCTGTTGCTTTGCCGGGCCTCGTGTTGGGTACGGACGCACCCTGCCTCTTGAGCTGGTCGCTGACATCAGCAGGGTCGAGTTGCAGGAAGGTGTAGAAGTAGTTGAAGAAGGCAATGAGTGCCACGTTGGCGGGGAGGTAGAAGAAACCTGGGGATTAGCGGAACACATGGGGAGAGAGGATGTTGATTGAAGATGCAAGGAGAAAGAAAGGAGAAGGAGCGAGTAAGTGAGTTGCAGGAAGGTGTAGAAGTAGTTGAGAAAGGCGAACAGTGCCACGTTAGCAGGCAGATAGAAGAAACCTGGAGATTAGCGGAACACATGGGGAGAGAGGATGTTGATTGAAGATGCAAGGAGAAAGAAAGGAGAAGGAGCGAGTAAGTGAGTTGCAGGAAGGTGTGGAAGTAGTTGAGAAAGGCGAACAGTGCCACGTTAGCAGGCAGATAGAAGAAACCTGGAGATTAGCGGAACACATGGGGAGAGAGGATGTTGATTGAAGATGCAAGGAGAAAGAAAGGAGAAGGAGCGAGTAAGTGAGTTGCAGGAAGGTGTGGAAGTAGTTGAAGAATGCAATCAGTGCCACGTTGGCGGGGAGGTAGAAGAAACCTGGGGATGAGTGGAGCAGGGAAATCAAAGGGAGTGGAGGAGGGAGAGGGAGCAGGGAGAGGAGTGAGTGAGTTGCAGGAAGGTGTAGAAGTAGTTGAAGAATGCGATGAGTGCCACGTTGGCAGGCGGGTAGAGGAGACCTGGGGATTAGTGGAACACATGGTGGTAAAAAGAGTGAGAGGATGACGGAAAAGCAGAGTGATAAATTTGCAGTAAGGTGTAGAAGTAGTTGAAGAAAGCGATCAGTGCCACGTTGGCAGGCAGATAGATCGGTAAAGCGAGCTATGGAGTAGGGAGCAGGAGCAGTCTGGTTACCCTATTACTGACCTGTGGTTACCATGTAACATACCTCCAGGGTAGAGAGCTGTAGCAGCGGACTGGAAAGCAGCACTTCCGGTAAAGCGAGCGATGGAGTAGGGAGCAGCGAGGAGCGAGGAAGAGAAGATAATTGGCATGACTCCCGTTGAGTTGACCTGCAGAGGGGGGAAGAGGAAGAGACGGGTAGAGGGTAGATGAGAAAGATGTTGATCCGAGAGGGTGGAACATAAGAAAGACGAAGGAGAGAGGAGGAGAAGACGATTGGCATGACTTTCGTTGAGTTGACCTGCGGGGGGGATTAGAGGTTGGATAAGAGAAAAGAGGTGGTTGTGAGAGAGGGGTGGTTGGAGAGAATGGGTAGATGAGAGAGAAAGGAACGGCAGATAATTGAGAAGAGAGGAGTAAACGTGAGGCATGGCTTCTGTTGAGTTGAGTGTGGGGGTTGGTGGGGGGGGGGGGGGGAAGGGTGAGTGAGTGAGGGGTCGATGCAAGAAAAAGAAAGCGGTGTGTTACATTCGCGGGAGAGATGCTACCTTCGAGGGGGAGGTGTTACCTTCCAGGGGGAGGTGCTGCCTTTCAGGGGGAGGTGTAACCTTCCAGAGGGAGGTGCTGCCTTTCAGGGGGAGGTGTTGCCTTTCAGGGGGAGGTGTTACCTTGAATGGCAGGTACGCATTCCGCGTCTTGATGTTGTACCGAGACGCATAGTTGATTGGAATACGCCGCTCTGCCTCCTGCTCGGTGGAAGGGATTAAGTTGTGGTGGTGGTGGGGGTGGTGGGGGTGGTAGGGGGAGTGGGAAGAACGGAGAAAAGAGGACGGGGAATTTGAATTGGTTGTATCGAGACACATAGTTGACGGGAATACGCCGCTCTGCTTCCTGCTTGGAGGGAAAGGGGTAGTGGATAGGGTAGAGGGTGGGAGGGGAAGGGGAGGAGAGGGTAGAAAGAGAGTAGAGGGTGAGATGGTGCATGGGGTTGGTTGTACCGTTATGCGTAGTTGATGGGGATGTGACACTCTGCCTCCTACTCGGAGGGAAGGGGGAAGTTGGAGCTGGTTGTAGCGGCACATAGTTGTTGGGAATGCGACTCCCCGCCTTCTGCTCAGAAGGCTGGCAGGCAGGCCGGCAGAGAGGCATAGAGCAGGAACCCACCTGCACCCATTCACACCCACCTGCACGTAGACAATCCCAAGGACGAGCAGCAGGAAGGAGGCCAGCAGCAGCGCCTCGCCGGTAACGTTCCCCTGCTCAGACGCCTCTGTGATGCAGGTAGGCAGGCAGGAGGAATATAGCACACCCATCCACACCCATCTGTACCGCACCCACCTGCACGTAGACGATGCCGAACACGAGCAGCAGGAAGGACGCGAGCAGCAGCGCCTCTCCGGTCACATTCCCTTGTTCAGAAGCCTCTGTGATCGTCCTCCCAATGGACGCCGGCAGGTAGGAAACGATATTGGTGAAGATGAGCAGAGAGGTGCCGTTGCCGAGCTTGAGATCAGTGATCTTGTCTCCCAGCAGGATGACTGCCACGGATCCCAAAGTGAGGCCCGAGACGGCGGAGACTGCCCAGGCGACCGACGGGTCGTAGGCGTACTGCTGTAGATATGCCACCTGTCCGATAGCCTGGGAGGAGGGCGAGAGGCAGGGAGGAAGGGAGAGCTTGAGGTGGGTGATCCTGTCTCCCAGGAGGATGACTGCCACGGATCCGACAGTCAGGCCTGAGACGGCTGAGACTGCCCAGGCGACCGAGGGGTCGTAGGCGTACTGCTGCAGATATGCCACCTGTCCGATTGCCTGGGAGGAGGGCGAGAGGCAGGGAGGAAGGGAGAGCTTGAGGTGGGTGATCCTGTCTCCCAGGAGGATGACTGCCACGGATCCGACAGTCAGGCCTGAGACGGCTGAGACTGCCCAAGCGACTGATGGGTCGTATGCGTACTGCTGCAGGTAGGCCACTTGGCCGATAGCCTGGGGAGTGGAGGGGGGCAGGGAGAAGGAGAGCTTGAGGTGGGTCGGTGATCTTGTCTCCCCGCAGTGGGGCGACTGAGGGGTCGTATGCGTACAACTGGAGGTAGGCCACTTGGCCTATGGCCTGGGGAGTGGAGGGGGAAGAATAGGGTGGGAAGCGGTGGGGTTGGGTTGAGGAGGGGCGACTGAGTGGTCGTATGCGTACTGCTGGAGGTAGGCCACTTGGCCGATAGCCTGTTGGCAGTGGAGGGGGGCAGGGAGAAGGAGAGCTTGAGGTGGGTCGGTGATCTTGTCTCCCCGCACGATGACTGCTACGGACCCGAGGCGCTCGTAATCTAGTAAAGACAAGAAGAATGTAATGAAATCAGGTAACGTACCTGCAGGGCACCGAACGCCACAGCCATATACTTCATGTACTGCTGCGCTTTCTTCCTCCCCGCCTCCCCCTCCTTCTTCTGCAGATCCCCAATCTTAGGGTACAGCGTCCCCAGCAGCTGGAACACGATCTGAGCGTTGATATACGGCACGATGCCCAGCGAAAACAATCCCAGCCGTCCAATCCCGCCCCCTGAGAGCGTGTCTAGGGTGGCCAGGAATGAGCCCTCCCCCAGTTGCTCCTGGAAGGCGGAGATATCGACGCCCCACAGGGGAATGTAGATTCCCACGCGGGATAGCGCGAGCAGACCCAGGAGCATGAGGAATTTCTTGGGTAAATCGCCCTTGAAAAAGTCGCCGATGTCGATCTTGCTGTCCTCCACTGGAAAGGTGGTGCGGGTCAGGTCAGGGGAGAGGTGGAAACGGGAGGCAGAGGGGGGAGAAAGAGGAGGGAGAACAAGGCAGAGAAAGGCAGAGAGATATAGTGGGAAGGCGGGGAGGAGGGATGAGGGAGAGATTGAAGCAGGGGAGGAAAAAAGGAAGAGGGAATTCGGTTTAGTCTTTTTTTTTTTCCCTCGCCCCCCCAAGTCCCCCAAGTCCCCCCCCCCCTCCCCCCCACCCGGGGGGGGATGGAGGGTGGGGGAGAGGGGACAGGGGGGACGGGAGGGTGGGAGGAAAGGAATAACATTCTGATGTATGTATTGAAATAATATCACAATCAAGAATCACGGAATATTCTCTCAAATTCAAGCTAGAATCAGCCAACCAGGCTTTGTGACTGTGACTGTAATGAAGGTGGCTGTAATGAAGGCGACTCGACCCGGGGGTTACTGCAATGAAGGCGACTCGACTCGGGGGTGACTGCAATGAAGGCGACTCGACTCGGGGGTGACTGCAATGAAGGCGACTCGACTCGGGGGTGACTGCAATGAAGGCGACTCGACTCGGGGGTGACTGTAATGAATGCGACTCGACCCGGGATTGACTGTAATGAAGGCGACTCGACTCGCGGTCGGCGTGACTATAACCAAGTTCAGGGCGGCATGGCCAGCCTCCTGTCAAGAGAGCATGCCACGTCAGCACTTGTTGCCACGTCAGCAGGACCTGGGTTGAGGTAGGGCCTGGGTCCGGTTCGGGTATGGGCTGCCTCACGTCTCTGCCCCGGGCCTCACGTCTCTGCCCCGGGCCTCACATCTCTGCCCCGGGCCTCACGTCTCTGCCCCGGGCCTCACATCTCTGCCCCGGGCCTCACATCTCTGCCCCGGGCCTCACGTCTCTGCCCCGGGCCTCACGTCTCTGCCCCGGGCCTCACATCTCTGCCCCGGGCCTCACATCTCTGCCCCGGGCCTCACATCTCTGCCCCGGGCCTCACATCTCTGCCCCGGGCCTCAATACCTACCATAACCAACAAACACCACCTAACATTATCTACCACAGAAACATAACATAATCCTAAACAGCACCTAAGTAAGTTTGATGCATTTTTTGTGAACATTTCTAGACATTACTACGGTACGGGGAATCTTTATCGCACCTGCAATTCGTAGTGGCACCTGTGCAAGGTCCACGGGGGGGAGGGGCGGGAGAGAGAGGAGGACGAGAGGAGAAGAGGAAATGCGGGTCAGGGGAGGTGCTATGAGGGGCAGGGCAGGGGGGTGATGATAGCAGCAAGCACTGCAATAAGAGCCGCAGCATAAGCAAGCAAAGCTCATTCCCCCCCACCTCCATGCGCATTTCCCCCCTGCACCGCACACCACCCCACCCCACCCAACACACTCACCATGTCGTGGCCGGCAGTTGGTGAGCTCGATGGAGGTGGCGACTCCCTCCCCCGCCATCTCCCTGACATGGCGGAACGGACGGCACGAGCAAACGGGGCAAAGCATGGGCAAAGGGGGCAACGCATGAGCAGAGGGGGAAAGGCATGGGCAGGGAGAACGGCATGAGCAGAGGGGGAAAGGCATGGGCAGGGAGAACGGCATGAGCAGAGGGGGAAAGGCATGCGCAAGGCGGGAATGCATGGGAAAGGCGGAAAGGCATGCGCAAGGCGGAAAGGCATGCGCAAGGCGGAAAGGCATGCGCAAGGCGGAAAGGCATGGGGAAGGCGGAAAGGCATGGGGAAGGCGGAAATGCATGGGCAAGGCGGAAAGGCAGGGGAAAGGCGGACATGCATGCGCAAGGCGGAAAGGCATGGGAAAAGGGGGGAACGGCGCGCTGACCTGCTCCGCGTGCAGCATGCTCGCCGGTGCTGTCCGCGCGGCCAGCAGCGCGCGCGGCGCTACCTGGTGAGCGCGGTGGGCGCCGTCACGGCGGGTGGAGCGGCGGCGGGTAGGCGCTGCTACGCTGGAGCCTGTCGTCCCTGCACAGCAAGGGGAGGGAGGGGCAGAGGGAGAGCGGAGGAAGGGACGGAGGGAGAGAGCAACGAGAAACCAAGAAAGGCAAGAGGGGTTGAGGACTGAAGTGAACTGTTTGGAAAGAATGCTCACGTAGGAGAGAAATGGGAAACATAACGGGAATTCCAGGGAGAAAACAGATAAAGAGGACAAAACGAAATAAAGTAATAAAACAGTAGAACAAAACGGATTTTGCATGGCGCATGGCACACATGCAGTCGCATGGCGCACATGCAATCGCGTGCTCATGAAATTTCAGCGTGCGCACATGCAGTGACAGTGCGCACCTGCTGGAGGGAGGAATAAGGGCCCTCCCACAGTGCGGGAGGGATCCGCCGCCTATGTTGAATCCCATGGGGGAAGGAATTCGAAGTCTAACGTGGGGAAGGCATTTAAGACCACTGATCGAGATGGGAGAGAAGGAATGGAGATCGGGAGAGCGGAAAAACGGAGACTAACGTGGGAGACGAAATTAGGAGATGAGCTGCGACCGATATGGGAGAGAATGAGTGGATCGGGAGAGCGGAGCTATGGAAAGTAACGTGGAAAATAATGGAGTTGAGATCGAAATGGGATGGGGATGGGATTGGGAGAGAAGCAAGGAAGGAGGAGTGGAGGAGATCGGGAGAGGAGTTGGAGAGGAGAGCAAGCAAGCAGATTTTGTTGACTCTCGCCACTGTAGCGCGAAATGACCAGCACCCTCGCCTCGGTCACCAAAACAGAAACGAATTGCAACTCTTCATACAAAAAAGGAACACTCCTCACCCTGGAACATGTAAACCTAAAACGAAAATAAGAGTGTACACCTAGAATCCACCTGCCCTGCACCAAAAAAACGATGGTGGGGACCAAATCTCAGAATTCACACACATTGCAAACCAAGTCGCGGAGCACAACACAAGCCTCCAATCCAAATCAAGTCGCTAAACACAAGTCGCGAAACATCCCACCGGTCCAATCAAACAGCACAAGCCATGCCAGCTAGCGCGGTCTGGGAAGTGACAGAAACGAGACTCGGATGATGTACAATCCAATATACAGTCATTGGTGCAGCGCTGGCGCGCTGCGCGATCCGCCTGGTGCCTGCAAACTTACTTTCTTATCAATCTATTCCCATGTACATGGGAATAGATTGATAAGAATGTAAGTTTGCATTTTCCTGGTTTATGTTTTCCTTCACGATGCATGCATTGTTATAAGCAAATATTCCAGAAAACAAGTGGGCTGACCCTGGTGTTGGTTGGTACATCTGCAGCAAAATCTTAGGCTAGCTAGTTCCTAGCTACCTATTTTTTAGCTATCTATTTGCTAGCTACCTAATTCCTGGCTAGTTATAGCCTGGCCTTGCCAATTCCTAGCTAGCCAATTTCTGGCCTGCCAACTCCTTGCTAACTCCTAGCCAATTCCTAGCTTGCTATTTCCTAGCTAGTAGCTAGTTAATTCCTAGCCAGCCAAATCATAGCTGGTAACTAGTTCCTAGCCAGCCACATCCTAGCAAGCTAATCCCTAGCTAGCTGCCGTAATTCCTAGTCAACCAAATCCTAACTACCGTAGCTAATTTGTAGATAGTTTACTACTCCTGGCTAACCTACGAGAAAGGGGCATCTGCGAGGGCGTGTTCCGGCTTCGTCTGTACGCGGTAAACACGATTGGATGTATCAGGGATGTGTCAGGAAGATGCTTCCTTGTGTCACACTCATTGTGGAGTTGATGAAAAGACTGACGTTGCAGATAATGACACCATCTCAAATCGACACGCAACAGGGCCTGGCCTGCAATCGTGCCAACCAAGCGATGGCCCGATACAAACACAGAGACTCAAAAGCTTGAAGCAATCTAATTCAGTAACGCACCACTCCATGCGCTTGACATTGATGTCATTCAACACAGAAACCTTGGTCGTCACGATGCAAGTGTGTAACACTCTATCATGCAGTTGCTTGAACCTAGTTTCACATCAACACGAAGCCACAAGGTACTTTATACGATACCTTGTGCACACCGATGCTGCTCTACTCTAAATATCCAGCCTCAGCATTCACCTAGGAGGCGGAATCCCTCCACCACCCGCACTGATATCATCCAGCTCAATCGTCCTATACTTCTGCGAAACCAGCTCCGCCTGCACCTTCCTGGCTGTATCGGTAGCGCATCCGACTAAAATGAGGATGGACGTTCCAGCAAACCCCCGGAAGGCCGTGAGGTGAGTGATTCCTTCCACAAGAGCCGGCGCTGCTGCCATCGTGCCGAGAAACGCCGACCCGAGCACCGAAATGCGGGTGAGGACCTGGTGTTAAGTAGTTAAAGAAGCAAGAGTAATGGGGAGAAAGGGAGAAGGGGATGGGAGGGGGAAGGAGAAGCCAAAGAGGGAAAGGAAACACGAGTGGGGAAAGGGCTGAGAGGGAGCCGGCCAGGAGTCATCATGGAGTGTTTGCGAGGCCAAACGGAGCTTGGTGATGAGCATGGCTGCTGCCTTGCCAGGCCTGGTGTAGGCCACAGACGCGCCCTGCCTCTTGAGAAAGTGGGCCGTATGCCGGATTTACGAACGTACAATGAGTGAACAAGGGCGACTCACCTTGGTGATGAGTGCGGCTGTTGCTTTGCCGGGCCTCGTGTTGGGTACGGACGCACCCTGCCTCTTGAGCTGGTCGCTGACATCAGCAGGGTCGAGTTGCAGGAAGGTGTAGAAGTAGTTGAAGAAGGCAATGAGTGCCACGTTGGCGGGGAGGTAGAAGAAACCTGGGGATTAGCGGAACACATGGGGAGAGAGGATGTTGATTGAAGATGCAAGGAGAAAGAAAGGAGAAGGAGCGAGTAAGTGAGTTGCAGGAAGGTGTAGAAGTAGTTGAGAAAGGCGAACAGTGCCACGTTAGCAGGCAGATAGAAGAAACCTGGAGATTAGCGGAACACATGGGGAGAGAGGATGTTGATTGAAGATGCAAGGAGAAAGAAAGGAGAAGGAGCGAGTAAGTGAGTTGCAGGAAGGTGTGGAAGTAGTTGAGAAAGGCGAACAGTGCCACGTTAGCAGGCAGATAGAAGAAACCTGGAGATTAGCGGAACACATGGGGAGAGAGGATGTTGATTGAAGATGCAAGGAGAAAGAAAGGAGAAGGAGCGAGTAAGTGAGTTGCAGGAAGGTGTGGAAGTAGTTGAAGAATGCAATCAGTGCCACGTTGGCGGGGAGGTAGAAGAAACCTGGGGATGAGTGGAGCAGGGAAATCAAAGGGAGTGGAGGAGGGAGAGGGAGCAGGGAGAGGAGTGAGTGAGTTGCAGGAAGGTGTAGAAGTAGTTGAAGAATGCGATGAGTGCCACGTTGGCAGGCGGGTAGAGGAGACCTGGGGATTAGTGGAACACATGGTGGTAAAAAGAGTGAGAGGATGACGGAAAAGCAGAGTGATAAATTTGCAGTAAGGTGTAGAAGTAGTTGAAGAAAGCGATCAGTGCCACGTTGGCAGGCAGATAGATCGGTAAAGCGAGCTATGGAGTAGGGAGCAGGAGCAGTCTGGTTACCCTATTACTGACCTGTGGTTACCATGTAACATACCTCCAGGGTAGAGAGCTGTAGCAGCGGACTGGAAAGCAGCACTTCCGGTAAAGCGAGCGATGGAGTAGGGAGCAGCGAGGAGCGAGGAAGAGAAGATAATTGGCATGACTCCCGTTGAGTTGACCTGCAGAGGGGGGAAGAGGAAGAGACGGGTAGAGGGTAGATGAGAAAGATGTTGATCCGAGAGGGTGGAACATAAGAAAGACGAAGGAGAGAGGAGGAGAAGACGATTGGCATGACTTTCGTTGAGTTGACCTGCGGGGGGGATTAGAGGTTGGATAAGAGAAAAGAGGTGGTTGTGAGAGAGGGGTGGTTGGAGAGAATGGGTAGATGAGAGAGAAAGGAACGGCAGATAATTGAGAAGAGAGGAGTAAACGTGAGGCATGGCTTCTGTTGAGTTGAGTGTGGGGGTTGGTGGGGGGGGGGGGGGAAGGGTGAGTGAGTGAGGGGTCGATGCAAGAAAAAGAAAGCGGTGTGTTACATTCGCGGGAGAGATGCTACCTTCGAGGGGGAGGTGTTACCTTCCAGGGGGAGGTGCTGCCTTTCAGGGGGAGGTGTAACCTTCCAGAGGGAGGTGCTGCCTTTCAGGGGGAGGTGTTGCCTTTCAGGGGGAGGTGTTACCTTGAATGGCAGGTACGCATTCCGCGTCTTGATGTTGTACCGAGACGCATAGTTGATTGGAATACGCCGCTCTGCCTCCTGCTCGGTGGAAGGGATTAAGTTGTGGTGGTGGTGGGGGTGGTAGGGGGAGTGGGAAGAACGGAGAAAAGAGGACGGGGAATTTGAATTGGTTGTATCGAGACACATAGTTGACGGGAATACGCCGCTCTGCTTCCTGCTTGGAGGGAAAGGGGTAGTGGATAGGGTAGAGGGTGGGAGGGGAAGGGGAGGAGAGGGTAGAAAGAGAGTAGAGGGTGAGATGGTGCATGGGGTTGGTTGTACCGTTATGCGTAGTTGATGGGGATGTGACACTCTGCCTCCTACTCGGAGGGAAGGGGGAAGTTGGAGCTGGTTGTAGCGGCACATAGTTGTTGGGAATGCGACTCCCCGCCTTCTGCTCAGAAGGCTGGCAGGCAGGCCGGCAGAGAGGCATAGAGCAGGAACCCACCTGCACCCATTCACACCCACCTGCACGTAGACAATCCCAAGGACGAGCAGCAGGAAGGAGGCCAGCAGCAGCGCCTCGCCGGTAACGTTCCCCTGCTCAGACGCCTCTGTGATGCAGGTAGGCAGGCAGGAGGAATATAGCACACCCATCCACACCCATCTGTACCGCACCCACCTGCACGTAGACGATGCCGAACACGAGCAGCAGGAAGGACGCGAGCAGCAGCGCCTCTCCGGTCACATTCCCTTGTTCAGAAGCCTCTGTGATCGTCCTCCCAATGGACGCCGGCAGGTAGGAAACGATATTGGTGAAGATGAGCAGAGAGGTGCCGTTGCCGAGCTTGAGATCAGTGATCTTGTCTCCCAGCAGGATGACTGCCACGGATCCCAAAGTGAGGCCCGAGACGGCGGAGACTGCCCAGGCGACCGACGGGTCGTAGGCGTACTGCTGTAGATATGCCACCTGTCCGATAGCCTGGGAGGAGGGCGAGAGGCAGGGAGGAAGGGAGAGCTTGAGGTGGGTGATCCTGTCTCCCAGGAGGATGACTGCCACGGATCCGACAGTCAGGCCTGAGACGGCTGAGACTGCCCAGGCGACCGAGGGGTCGTAGGCGTACTGCTGCAGATATGCCACCTGTCCGATTGCCTGGGAGGAGGGCGAGAGGCAGGGAGGAAGGGAGAGCTTGAGGTGGGTGATCCTGTCTCCCAGGAGGATGACTGCCACGGATCCGACAGTCAGGCCTGAGACGGCTGAGACTGCCCAAGCGACTGATGGGTCGTATGCGTACTGCTGCAGGTAGGCCACTTGGCCGATAGCCTGGGGAGTGGAGGGGGGCAGGGAGAAGGAGAGCTTGAGGTGGGTCGGTGATCTTGTCTCCCCGCAGTGGGGCGACTGAGGGGTCGTATGCGTACAACTGGAGGTAGGCCACTTGGCCTATGGCCTGGGGAGTGGAGGGGGAAGAATAGGGTGGGAAGCGGTGGGGTTGGGTTGAGGAGGGGCGACTGAGTGGTCGTATGCGTACTGCTGGAGGTAGGCCACTTGGCCGATAGCCTGTTGGCAGTGGAGGGGGGCAGGGAGAAGGAGAGCTTGAGGTGGGTCGGTGATCTTGTCTCCCCGCACGATGACTGCTACGGACCCGAGGCGCTCGTAATCTAGTAAAGACAAGAAGAATGTAATGAAATCAGGTAACGTACCTGCAGGGCACCGAACGCCACAGCCATATACTTCATGTACTGCTGCGCTTTCTTCCTCCCCGCCTCCCCCTCCTTCTTCTGCAGATCCCCAATCTTAGGGTACAGCGTCCCCAGCAGCTGGAACACGATCTGAGCGTTGATATACGGCACGATGCCCAGCGAAAACAATCCCAGCCGTCCAATCCCGCCCCCTGAGAGCGTGTCTAGGGTGGCCAGGAATGAGCCCTCCCCCAGTTGCTCCTGGAAGGCGGAGATATCGACGCCCCACAGGGGAATGTAGATTCCCACGCGGGATAGCGCGAGCAGACCCAGGAGCATGAGGAATTTCTTGGGTAAATCGCCCTTGAAAAAGTCGCCGATGTCGATCTTGCTGTCCTCCACTGGAAAGGTGGTGCGGGTCAGGTCAGGGGAGAGGTGGAAACGGGAGGCAGAGGGGGGAGAAAGAGGAGGGAGAACAAGGCAGAGAAAGGCAGAGAGATATAGTGGGAAGGCGGGGAGGAGGGATGAGGGAGAGATTGAAGCAGGGGAGGAAAAAAGGAAGAGGGAATTCGGTTTAGTCTTTTTTTTTTCCCTCGCCCCCCCAAGTCCCCCAAGTCCCCCCCCCCCTCCCCCCCACCCGGGGGGGGATGGAGGGTGGGGGAGAGGGGACAGGGGGGACGGGAGGGTGGGAGGAAAGGAATAACATTCTGATGTATGTATTGAAATAATATCACAATCAAGAATCACGGAATATTCTCTCAAATTCAAGCTAGAATCAGCCAACCAGGCTTTGTGACTGTGACTGTAATGAAGGTGGCTGTAATGAAGGCGACTCGACCCGGGGGTTACTGCAATGAAGGCGACTCGACTCGGGGGTGACTGCAATGAAGGCGACTCGACTCGGGGGTGACTGCAATGAAGGCGACTCGACTCGGGGGTGACTGCAATGAAGGCGACTCGACTCGGGGGTGACTGTAATGAATGCGACTCGACCCGGGATTGACTGTAATGAAGGCGACTCGACTCGCGGTCGGCGTGACTATAACCAAGTTCAGGGCGGCATGGCCAGCCTCCTGTCAAGAGAGCATGCCACGTCAGCACTTGTTGCCACGTCAGCAGGACCTGGGTTGAGGTAGGGCCTGGGTCCGGTTCGGGTATGGGCTGCCTCACGTCTCTGCCCCGGGCCTCACGTCTCTGCCCCGGGCCTCACATCTCTGCCCCGGGCCTCACGTCTCTGCCCCGGGCCTCACATCTCTGCCCCGGGCCTCACGTCTCTGCCCCGGGCCTCACGTCTCTGCCCCGGGCCTCACATCTCTGCCCCGGGCCTCACATCTCTGCCCCGGGCCTCACATCTCTGCCCCGGGCCTCACATCTCTGCCCCGGGCCTCAATACCTACCATAACCAACAAACACCACCTAACATTATCTACCACAGAAACATAACATAATCCTAAACAGCACCTAAGTAAGTTTGATGCATTTTTTGTGAACATTTCTAGACATTACTACGGTACGGGGAATCTTTATCGCACCTGCAATTCGTAGTGGCACCTGTGCAAGGTCCACGGGGGGGAGGGGCGGGAGAGAGAGGAGGACGAGAGGAGAAGAGGAAATGCGGGTCAGGGGAGGTGCTATGAGGGGCAGGGCAGGGGGGTGATGATAGCAGCAAGCACTGCAATAAGAGCCGCAGCATAAGCAAGCAAAGCTCATTCCCCCCCACCTCCATGCGCATTTCCCCCCTGCACCGCACACCACCCCACCCCACCCAACACACTCACCATGTCGTGGCCGGCAGTTGGTGAGCTCGATGGAGGTGGCGACTCCCTCCCCCGCCATCTCCCTGACATGGCGGAACGGACGGCACGAGCAAACGGGGCAAAGCATGGGCAAAGGGGGCAACGCATGAGCAGAGGGGGAAAGGCATGGGCAGGGAGAACGGCATGAGCAGAGGGGGAAAGGCATGGGCAGGGAGAACGGCATGAGCAGAGGGGGAAAGGCATGCGCAAGGCGGGAATGCATGGGAAAGGCGGAAAGGCATGCGCAAGGCGGAAAGGCATGCGCAAGGCGGAAAGGCATGCGCAAGGCGGAAAGGCATGGGGAAGGCGGAAAGGCATGGGGAAGGCGGAAATGCATGGGCAAGGCGGAAAGGCAGGGGAAAGGCGGACATGCATGCGCAAGGCGGAAAGGCATGGGAAAAGGGGGGAACGGCGCGCTGACCTGCTCCGCGTGCAGCATGCTCGCCGGTGCTGTCCGCGCGGCCAGCAGCGCGCGCGGCGCTACCTGGTGAGCGCGGTGGGCGCCGTCACGGCGGGTGGAGCGGCGGCGGGTAGGCGCTGCTACGCTGGAGCCTGTCGTCCCTGCACAGCAAGGGGAGGGAGGGGCAGAGGGAGAGCGGAGGAAGGGACGGAGGGAGAGAGCAACGAGAAACCAAGAAAGGCAAGAGGGGTTGAGGACTGAAGTGAACTGTTTGGAAAGAATGCTCACGTAGGAGAGAAATGGGAAACATAACGGGAATTCCAGGGAGAAAACAGATAAAGAGGACAAACGAAATAAAGTAATAAAACAGTAGAACAAAACGGATTTTGCATGGCGCATGGCACACATGCAGTCGCATGGCGCACATGCAATCGCGTGCTCATGAAATTTCAGCGTGCGCACATGCAGTGACAGTGCGCACCTGCTGGAGGGAGGAATAAGGGCCCTCCCACAGTGCGGGAGGGATCCGCCGCCTATGTTGAATCCCATGGGGGAAGGAATTCGAAGTCTAACGTGGGGAAGGCATTTAAGACCACTGATCGAGATGGGAGAGAAGGAATGGAGATCGGGAGAGCGGAAAAACGGAGGACTAACGTGGGAGACGAAATTAGGAGATGAGCTGCGACCGATATGGGAGAGAATGAGTGGATCGGGAGAGCGGAGCTATGGAAAGTAACGTGGAAAATAATGGAGTTGAGATCGAAATGGGATGGGGATGGGATTGGGAGAGAAGCAAGGAAGGAGGAGTGGAGGAGATCGGGAGAGGAGTTGGAGAGGAGAGCAAGCAAGCAGATTTTGTTGACTCTCGCCACTGTAGCGCGAAATGACCAGCACCCTCGCCTCGGTCACCAAAACAGAAACGAATTGCAACTCTTCATACAAAAAAGGAACACTCCTCACCCTGGAACATGTAAACCTAAAACGAAAATAAGAGTGTACACCTAGAATCCACCTGCCCTGCACCAAAAAAACGATGGTGGGGACCAAATCTCAGAATTCACACACATTGCAAACCAAGTCGCGGAGCACAACACAAGCCTCCAATCCAAATCAAGTCGCTAAACACAAGTCGCGAAACATCCCACCGGTCCAATCAAACAGCACAAGCCATGCCAGCTAGCGCGGTCTGGGAAGTGACAGAAACGAGACTCGGATGATGTACAATCCAATATACAGTCATTGGTGCAGCGCTGGCGCGCTGCGCGATCCGCCTGGTGCCTGCAAACTTACTTTCTTATCAATCTATTCCCATGTACATGGGAATAGATTGATAAGAATGTAAGTTTGCATTTTCCTGGTTTATGTTTTCCTTCACGATGCATGCATTGTTATAAGCAAATATTCCAGAAAACAAGTGGGCTGACCCTGGTGTTGGTTGGTACATCTGCAGCAAAATCTTAGGCTAGCTAGTTCCTAGCTACCTATTTTTTAGCTATCTATTTGCTAGCTACCTAATTCCTGGCTAGTTATAGCCTGGCCTTGCCAATTCCTAGCTAGCCAATTTCTGGCCTGCCAACTCCTTGCTAACTCCTAGCCAATTCCTAGCTTGCTATTTCCTAGCTAGTAGCTAGTTAATTCCTAGCCAGCCAAATCATAGCTGGTAACTAGTTCCTAGCCAGCCACATCCTAGCAAGCTAATCCCTAGCTAGCTGCCGTAATTCCTAGTCAACCAAATCCTAACTACCGTAGCTAATTTGTAGATAGTTTACTACTCCTGGCTAACCTACGAGAAAGGGGCATCTGCGAGGGCGTGTTCCGGCTTCGTCTGTACGCGGTAAACACGATTGGATGTATCAGGGATGTGTCAGGAAGATGCTTCCTTGTGTCACACTCATTGTGGAGTTGATGAAAAGACTGACGTTGCAGATAATGACACCATCTCAAATCGACACGCAACAGGGCCTGGCCTGCAATCGTGCCAACCAAGCGATGGCCCGATACAAACACAGAGACTCAAAAGCTTGAAGCAATCTAATTCAGTAACGCACCACTCCATGCGCTTGACATTGATGTCATTCAACACAGAAACCTTGGTCGTCACGATGCAAGTGTGTAACACTCTATCATGCAGTTGCTTGAACCTAGTTTCACATCAACACGAAGCCACAAGGTACTTTATACGATACCTTGTGCACACCGATGCTGCTCTACTCTAAATATCCAACCTCAGCATTCACCTAGGAGGCGGAATCCCTCCACCACCCGCACTGATATCATCCAGCTCAATCGTCCTATACTTCTGCGAAACCAGCTCCGCCTGCACCTTCCTGGCTGTATCGGTAGCGCATCCGACTAAAATGAGGATGGACGTTCCAGCAAACCCCCGGAAGGCCGTGAGGTGAGTGATTCCTTCCACAAGAGCCGGCGCTGCTGCCATCGTGCCGAGAAACGCCGACCCGAGCACCGAAATGCGGGTGAGGACCTGGTGTTAAGTAGTTAAAGAAGCAAGAGTAATGGGGAGAAAGGGAGAAGGGGATGGGAGGGGGAAGGAGAAGCCAAAGAGGGAAAGGAAACACGAGTGGGGAAAGGGCTGAGAGGGAGCCGGCCAGGAGTCATCATGGAGTGTTTGCGAGGCCAAACGGAGCTTGGTGATGAGCATGGCTGCTGCCTTGCCAGGCCTGGTGTAGGCCACAGACGCGCCCTGCCTCTTGAGAAAGTGGGCCGTATGCCGGATTTACGAACGTACAATGAGTGAACAAGGGCGACTCACCTTGGTGATGAGTGCGGCTGTTGCTTTGCCGGGCCTCGTGTTGGGTACGGACGCACCCTGCCTCTTGAGCTGGTCGCTGACATCAGCAGGGTCGAGTTGCAGGAAGGTGTAGAAGTAGTTGAAGAAGGCAATGAGTGCCACGTTGGCGGGGAGGTAGAAGAAACCTGGGGATTAGCGGAACACATGGGGAGAGAGGATGTTGATTGAAGATGCAAGGAGAAAGAAAGGAGAAGGAGCGAGTAAGTGAGTTGCAGGAAGGTGTAGAAGTAGTTGAGAAAGGCGAACAGTGCCACGTTAGCAGGCAGATAGAAGAAACCTGGAGATTAGCGGAACACATGGGGAGAGAGGATGTTGATTGAAGATGCAAGGAGAAAGAAAGGAGAAGGAGCGAGTAAGTGAGTTGCAGGAAGGTGTGGAAGTAGTTGAGAAAGGCGAACAGTGCCACGTTAGCAGGCAGATAGAAGAAACCTGGAGATTAGCGGAACACATGGGGAGAGAGGATGTTGATTGAAGATGCAAGGAGAAAGAAAGGAGAAGGAGCGAGTAAGTGAGTTGCAGGAAGGTGTGGAAGTAGTTGAAGAATGCAATCAGTGCCACGTTGGCGGGGAGGTAGAAGAAACCTGGGGATGAGTGGAGCAGGGAAATCAAAGGGAGTGGAGGAGGGAGAGGGAGCAGGGAGAGGAGTGAGTGAGTTGCAGGAAGGTGTAGAAGTAGTTGAAGAATGCGATGAGTGCCACGTTGGCAGGCGGGTAGAGGAGACCTGGGGATTAGTGGAACACATGGTGGTAAAAAGAGTGAGAGGATGACGGAAAAGCAGAGTGATAAATTTGCAGTAAGGTGTAGAAGTAGTTGAAGAAAGCGATCAGTGCCACGTTGGCAGGCAGATAGATCGGTAAAGCGAGCTATGGAGTAGGGAGCAGGAGCAGTCTGGTTACCCTATTACTGACCTGTGGTTACCATGTAACATACCTCCAGGGTAGAGAGCTGTAGCAGCGGACTGGAAAGCAGCACTTCCGGTAAAGCGAGCGATGGAGTAGGGAGCAGCGAGGAGCGAGGAAGAGAAGATAATTGGCATGACTCCCGTTGAGTTGACCTGCAGAGGGGGGAAGAGGAAGAGACGGGTAGAGGGTAGATGAGAAAGATGTTGATCCGAGAGGGTGGAACATAAGAAAGACGAAGGAGAGAGGAGGAGAAGACGATTGGCATGACTTTCGTTGAGTTGACCTGCGGGGGGGATTAGAGGTTGGATAAGAGAAAAGAGGTGGTTGTGAGAGAGGGGTGGTTGGAGAGAATGGGTAGATGAGAGAGAAAGGAACGGCAGATAATTGAGAAGAGAGGAGTAAACGTGAGGCATGGCTTCTGTTGAGTTGAGTGTGGGGGTTGGTGGGGGGGGGGGGGGAAGGGTGAGTGAGTGAGGGGTCGATGCAAGAAAAAGAAAGCGGTGTGTTACATTCGCGGGAGAGATGCTACCTTCGAGGGGGAGGTGTTACCTTCCAGGGGGAGGTGCTGCCTTTCAGGGGGAGGTGTAACCTTCCAGAGGGAGGTGCTGCCTTTCAGGGGGAGGTGTTGCCTTTCAGGGGGAGGTGTTACCTTGAATGGCAGGTACGCATTCCGCGTCTTGATGTTGTACCGAGACGCATAGTTGATTGGAATACGCCGCTCTGCCTCCTGCTCGGTGGAAGGGATTAAGTTGTGGTGGTGGTGGGGGTGGTGGGGGTGGTAGGGGGAGTGGGAAGAACGGAGAAAAGAGGACGGGGAATTTGAATTGGTTGTATCGAGACACATAGTTGACGGGAATACGCCGCTCTGCTTCCTGCTTGGAGGGAAAGGGGTAGTGGATAGGGTAGAGGGTGGGAGGGGAAGGGGAGGAGAGGGTAGAAAGAGAGTAGAGGGTGAGATGGTGCATGGGGTTGGTTGTACCGTTATGCGTAGTTGATGGGGATGTGACACTCTGCCTCCTACTCGGAGGGAAGGGGGAAGTTGGAGCTGGTTGTAGCGGCACATAGTTGTTGGGAATGCGACTCCCCGCCTTCTGCTCAGAAGGCTGGCAGGCAGGCCGGCAGAGAGGCATAGAGCAGGAACCCACCTGCACCCATTCACACCCACCTGCACGTAGACAATCCCAAGGACGAGCAGCAGGAAGGAGGCCAGCAGCAGCGCCTCGCCGGTAACGTTCCCCTGCTCAGACGCCTCTGTGATGCAGGTAGGCAGGCAGGAGGAATATAGCACACCCATCCACACCCATCTGTACCGCACCCACCTGCACGTAGACGATGCCGAACACGAGCAGCAGGAAGGACGCGAGCAGCAGCGCCTCTCCGGTCACATTCCCTTGTTCAGAAGCCTCTGTGATCGTCCTCCCAATGGACGCCGGCAGGTAGGAAACGATATTGGTGAAGATGAGCAGAGAGGTGCCGTTGCCGAGCTTGAGATCAGTGATCTTGTCTCCCAGCAGGATGACTGCCACGGATCCCAAAGTGAGGCCCGAGACGGCGGAGACTGCCCAGGCGACCGACGGGTCGTAGGCGTACTGCTGTAGATATGCCACCTGTCCGATAGCCTGGGAGGAGGGCGAGAGGCAGGGAGGAAGGGAGAGCTTGAGGTGGGTGATCCTGTCTCCCAGGAGGATGACTGCCACGGATCCGACAGTCAGGCCTGAGACGGCTGAGACTGCCCAGGCGACCGAGGGGTCGTAGGCGTACTGCTGCAGATATGCCACCTGTCCGATTGCCTGGGAGGAGGGCGAGAGGCAGGGAGGAAGGGAGAGCTTGAGGTGGGTGATCCTGTCTCCCAGGAGGATGACTGCCACGGATCCGACAGTCAGGCCTGAGACGGCTGAGACTGCCCAAGCGACTGATGGGTCGTATGCGTACTGCTGCAGGTAGGCCACTTGGCCGATAGCCTGGGGAGTGGAGGGGGGCAGGGAGAAGGAGAGCTTGAGGTGGGTCGGTGATCTTGTCTCCCCGCAGTGGGGCGACTGAGGGGTCGTATGCGTACAACTGGAGGTAGGCCACTTGGCCTATGGCCTGGGGAGTGGAGGGGGAAGAATAGGGTGGGAAGCGGTGGGGTTGGGTTGAGGAGGGGCGACTGAGTGGTCGTATGCGTACTGCTGGAGGTAGGCCACTTGGCCGATAGCCTGTTGGCAGTGGAGGGGGGCAGGGAGAAGGAGAGCTTGAGGTGGGTCGGTGATCTTGTCTCCCCGCACGATGACTGCTACGGACCCGAGGCGCTCGTAATCTAGTAAAGACAAGAAGAATGTAATGAAATCAGGTAACGTACCTGCAGGGCACCGAACGCCACAGCCATATACTTCATGTACTGCTGCGCTTTCTTCCTCCCCGCCCTCCCCCTCCTTCTTCTGCAGATCCCCAATCTTAGGGTACAGCGTCCCCAGCAGCTGGAACACGATCTGAGCGTTGATATACGGCACGATGCCCAGCGAAAACAATCCCAGCCGTCCAATCCCGCCCCCTGAGAGCGTGTCTAGGGTGGCCAGGAATGAGCCCTCCCCCAGTTGCTCCTGGAAGGCGGAGATATCGACGCCCCACAGGGGAATGTAGATTCCCACGCGGGATAGCGCGAGCAGACCCAGGAGCATGAGGAATTTCTTGGGTAAATCGCCCTTGAAAAAGTCGCCGATGTCGATCTTGCTGTCCTCCACTGGAAAGGTGGTGCGGGTCAGGTCAGGGGAGAGGTGGAAACGGGAGGCAGAGGGGGGAGAAAGAGGAGGGAGAACAAGGCAGAGAAAGGCAGAGAGATATAGTGGGAAGGCGGGGAGGAGGGATGAGGGAGAGATTGAAGCAGGGGAGGAAAAAAGGAAGAGGGAATTCGGTTTAGTCTTTTTTTTTTCCCTCGCCCCCCCAAGTCCCCCAAGTCCCCCCCCCCTCCCCCCCACCCGGGGGGGGATGGAGGGTGGGGGAGAGGGGACAGGGGGGACGGGAGGGTGGGAGGAAAGGAATAACATTCTGATGTATGTATTGAAATAATATCACAATCAAGAATCACGGAATATTCTCTCAAATTCAAGCTAGAATCAGCCAACCAGGCTTTGTGACTGTGACTGTAATGAAGGTGGCTGTAATGAAGGCGACTCGACCCGGGGGTTACTGCAATGAAGGCGACTCGACTCGGGGGTGACTGCAATGAAGGCGACTCGACTCGGGGGTGACTGCAATGAAGGCGACTCGACTCGGGGGTGACTGCAATGAAGGCGACTCGACTCGGGGGTGACTGTAATGAATGCGACTCGACCCGGGATTGACTGTAATGAAGGCGACTCGACTCGCGGTCGGCGTGACTATAACCAAGTTCAGGGCGGCATGGCCAGCCTCCTGTCAAGAGAGCATGCCACGTCAGCACTTGTTGCCACGTCAGCAGGACCTGGGTTGAGGTAGGGCCTGGGTCCGGTTCGGGTATGGGCTGCCTCACGTCTCTGCCCCGGGCCTCACGTCTCTGCCCCGGGCCTCACATCTCTGCCCCGGGCCTCACGTCTCTGCCCCGGGCCTCACATCTCTGCCCCGGGCCTCACATCTCTGCCCCGGGCCTCACGTCTCTGCCCCGGGCCTCACGTCTCTGCCCCGGGCCTCACATCTCTGCCCCGGGCCTCACATCTCTGCCCCGGGCCTCACATCTCTGCCCCGGGCCTCACATCTCTGCCCCGGGCCTCAATACCTACCATAACCAACAAACACCACCTAACATTATCTACCACAGAAACATAACATAATCCTAAACAGCACCTAAGTAAGTTTGATGCATTTTTTGTGAACATTTCTAGACATTACTACGGTACGGGGAATCTTTATCGCACCTGCAATTCGTAGTGGCACCTGTGCAAGGTCCACGGGGGGGAGGGGCGGGAGAGAGAGGAGGACGAGAGGAGAAGAGGAAATGCGGGTCAGGGGAGGTGCTATGAGGGGCAGGGCAGGGGGGTGATGATAGCAGCAAGCACTGCAATAAGAGCCGCAGCATAAGCAAGCAAAGCTCATTCCCCCCCACCTCCATGCGCATTTCCCCCCTGCACCGCACACCACCCCACCCCACCCAACACACTCACCATGTCGTGGCCGGCAGTTGGTGAGCTCGATGGAGGTGGCGACTCCCTCCCCCGCCATCTCCCTGACATGGCGGAACGGACGGCACGAGCAAACGGGGCAAAGCATGGGCAAAGGGGGCAACGCATGAGCAGAGGGGGAAAGGCATGGGCAGGGAGAACGGCATGAGCAGAGGGGGAAAGGCATGGGCAGGGAGAACGGCATGAGCAGAGGGGGAAAGGCATGCGCAAGGCGGGAATGCATGGGAAAGGCGGAAAGGCATGCGCAAGGCGGAAAGGCATGCGCAAGGCGGAAAGGCATGCGCAAGGCGGAAAGGCATGGGGAAGGCGGAAAGGCATGGGGAAGGCGGAAATGCATGGGCAAGGCGGAAAGGCAGGGGAAAGGCGGACATGCATGCGCAAGGCGGAAAGGCATGGGAAAAGGGGGGGAACGGCGCGCTGACCTGCTCCGCGTGCAGCATGCTCGCCGGTGCTGTCCGCGCGGCCAGCAGCGCGCGCGGCGCTACCTGGTGAGCGCGGTGGGCGCCGTCACGGCGGGTGGAGCGGCGGCGGGTAGGCGCTGCTACGCTGGAGCCTGTCGTCCCTGCACAGCAAGGGGAGGGAGGGGCAGAGGGAGAGCGGAGGAAGGGACGGAGGGAGAGAGCAACGAGAAACCAAGAAAGGCAAGAGGGGTTGAGGACTGAAGTGAACTGTTTGGAAAGAATGCTCACGTAGGAGAGAAATGGGAAACATAACGGGAATTCCAGGGAGAAAACAGATAAAGAGGACAAAACGAAATAAAGTAATAAAACAGTAGAACAAAACGGATTTTGCATGGCGCATGGCACACATGCAGTCGCATGGCGCACATGCAATCGCGTGCTCATGAAATTTCAGCGTGCGCACATGCAGTGACAGTGCGCACCTGCTGGAGGGAGGAATAAGGGCCCTCCCACAGTGCGGGAGGGATCCGCCGCCTATGTTGAATCCCATGGGGGAAGGAATTCGAAGTCTAACGTGGGGAAGGCATTTAAGACCACTGATCGAGATGGGAGAGAAGGAATGGAGATCGGGAGAGCGGAAAAAACGGAGACTAACGTGGGAGACGAAATTAGGAGATGAGCTGCGACCGATATGGGAGAGAATGAGTGGATCGGGAGAGCGGAGCTATGGAAAGTAACGTGGAAAATAATGGAGTTGAGATCGAAATGGGATGGGGATGGGATTGGGAGAGAAGCAAGGAAGGAGGAGTGGAGGAGATCGGGAGAGGAGTTGGAGAGGAGAGCAAGCAAGCAGATTTTGTTGACTCTCGCCACTGTAGCGCGAAATGACCAGCACCCTCGCCTCGGTCACCAAAACAGAAACGAATTGCAACTCTTCATACAAAAAAGGAACACTCCTCACCCTGGAACATGTAAACCTAAAACGAAAATAAGAGTGTACACCTAGAATCCACCTGCCCTGCACCAAAAAAACGATGGTGGGGACCAAATCTCAGAATTCACACACATTGCAAACCAAGTCGCGGAGCACAACACAAGCCTCCAATCCAAATCAAGTCGCTAAACACAAGTCGCGAAACATCCCACCGGTCCAATCAAACAGCACAAGCCATGCCAGCTAGCGCGGTCTGGGAAGTGACAGAAACGAGACTCGGATGATGTACAATCCAATATACAGTCATTGGTGCAGCGCTGGCGCGCTGCGCGATCCGCCTGGTGCCTGCAAACTTACTTTCTTATCAATCTATTCCCATGTACATGGGAATAGATTGATAAGAATGTAAGTTTGCATTTTCCTGGTTTATGTTTTCCTTCACGATGCATGCATTGTTATAAGCAAATATTCCAGAAAACAAGTGGGCTGACCCTGGTGTTGGTTGGTACATCTGCAGCAAAATCTTAGGCTAGCTAGTTCCTAGCTACCTATTTTTTAGCTATCTATTTGCTAGCTACCTAATTCCTGGCTAGTTATAGCCTGGCCTTGCCAATTCCTAGCTAGCCAATTTCTGGCCTGCCAACTCCTTGCTAACTCCTAGCCAATTCCTAGCTTGCTATTTCCTAGCTAGTAGCTAGTTAATTCCTAGCCAGCCAAATCATAGCTGGTAACTAGTTCCTAGCCAGCCACATCCTAGCAAGCTAATCCCTAGCTAGCTGCCGTAATTCCTAGTCAACCAAATCCTAACTACCGTAGCTAATTTGTAGATAGTTTACTACTCCTGGCTAACCTACGAGAAAGGGGCATCTGCGAGGGCGTGTTCCGGCTTCGTCTGTACGCGGTAAACACGATTGGATGTATCAGGGATGTGTCAGGAAGATGCTTCCTTGTGTCACACTCATTGTGGAGTTGATGAAAAGACTGACGTTGCAGATAATGACACCATCTCAAATCGACACGCAACAGGGCCTGGCCTGCAATCGTGCCAACCAAGCGATGGCCCGATACAAACACAGAGACTCAAAAGCTTGAAGCAATCTAATTCAGTAACGCACCACTCCATGCGCTTGACATTGATGTCATTCAACACAGAAACCTTGGTCGTCACGATGCAAGTGTGTAACACTCTATCATGCAGTTGCTTGAACCTAGTTTCACATCAACACGAAGCCACAAGGTACTTTATACGATACCTTGTGCACACCGATGCTGCTCTACTCTAAATATCCAGCCTCAGCATTCACCTAGGAGGCGGAATCCCTCCACCACCCGCACTGATATCATCCAGCTCAATCGTCCTATACTTCTGCGAAACCAGCTCCGCCTGCACCTTCCTGGCTGTATCGGTAGCGCATCCGACTAAAATGAGGATGGACGTTCCAGCAAAACCCCCGGAAGGCCGTGAGGTGAGTGATTCCTTCCACAAGAGCCGGCGCTGCTGCCATCGTGCCGAGAAACGCCGACCCGAGCACCGAAATGCGGGTGAGGACCTGGTGTTAAGTAGTTAAAGAAGCAAGAGTAATGGGGAGAAAGGGAGAAGGGGATGGGAGGGGGAAGGAGAAGCCAAAGAGGGAAAGGAAACACGAGTGGGGAAAGGGCTGAGAGGGAGCCGGCCAGGAGTCATCATGGAGTGTTTGCGAGGCCAAACGGAGCTTGGTGATGAGCATGGCTGCTGCCTTGCCAGGCCTGGTGTAGGCCACAGACGCGCCCTGCCTCTTGAGAAAGTGGGCCGTATGCCGGATTTACGAACGTACAATGAGTGAACAAGGGCGACTCACCTTGGTGATGAGTGCGGCTGTTGCTTTGCCGGGCCTCGTGTTGGGTACGGACGCACCCTGCCTCTTGAGCTGGTCGCTGACATCAGCAGGGTCGAGTTGCAGGAAGGTGTAGAAGTAGTTGAAGAAGGCAATGAGTGCCACGTTGGCGGGGAGGTAGAAGAAACCTGGGGATTAGCGGAACACATGGGGAGAGAGGATGTTGATTGAAGATGCAAGGAGAAAGAAAGGAGAAGGAGCGAGTAAGTGAGTTGCAGGAAGGTGTAGAAGTAGTTGAGAAAGGCGAACAGTGCCACGTTAGCAGGCAGATAGAAGAAACCTGGAGATTAGCGGAACACATGGGGAGAGAGGATGTTGATTGAAGATGCAAGGAGAAAGAAAGGAGAAGGAGCGAGTAAGTGAGTTGCAGGAAGGTGTGGAAGTAGTTGAGAAAGGCGAACAGTGCCACGTTAGCAGGCAGATAGAAGAAACCTGGAGATTAGCGGAACACATGGGGAGAGAGGATGTTGATTGAAGATGCAAGGAGAAAGAAAGGAGAAGGAGCGAGTAAGTGAGTTGCAGGAAGGTGTGGAAGTAGTTGAAGAATGCAATCAGTGCCACGTTGGCGGGGAGGTAGAAGAAACCTGGGGATGAGTGGAGCAGGGAAATCAAAGGGAGTGGAGGAGGGAGAGGGAGCAGGGAGAGGAGTGAGTGAGTTGCAGGAAGGTGTAGAAGTAGTTGAAGAATGCGATGAGTGCCACGTTGGCAGGCGGGTAGAGGAGACCTGGGGATTAGTGGAACACATGGTGGTAAAAAGAGTGAGAGGATGACGGAAAAGCAGAGTGATAAATTTGCAGTAAGGTGTAGAAGTAGTTGAAGAAAGCGATCAGTGCCACGTTGGCAGGCAGATAGATCGGTAAAGCGAGCTATGGAGTAGGGAGCAGGAGCAGTCTGGTTACCCTATTACTGACCTGTGGTTACCATGTAACATACCTCCAGGGTAGAGAGCTGTAGCAGCGGACTGGAAAGCAGCACTTCCGGTAAAGCGAGCGATGGAGTAGGGAGCAGCGAGGAGCGAGGAAGAGAAGATAATTGGCATGACTCCCGTTGAGTTGACCTGCAGAGGGGGGAAGAGGAAGAGACGGGTAGAGGGTAGATGAGAAAGATGTTGATCCGAGAGGGTGGAACATAAGAAAGACGAAGGAGAGAGGAGGAGAAGACGATTGGCATGACTTTCGTTGAGTTGACCTGCGGGGGGGATTAGAGGTTGGATAAGAGAAAAGAGGTGGTTGTGAGAGAGGGGTGGTTGGAGAGAATGGGTAGATGAGAGAGAAAGGAACGGCAGATAATTGAGAAGAGAGGAGTAAACGTGAGGCATGGCTTCTGTTGAGTTGAGTGTGGGGGTTGGTGGGGGGGGGGGGGGGGAAGGGTGAGTGAGTGAGGGGTCGATGCAAGAAAAAGAAAGCGGTGTGTTACATTCGCGGGGAGAGATGCTACCTTCGAGGGGGAGGTGTTACCTTCCAGGGGGAGGTGCTGCCTTTCAGGGGGGAGGTGTAACCTTCCAGAGGGAGGTGCTGCCTTTCAGGGGGAGGTGTTGCCTTTCAGGGGGAGGTGTTACCTTGAATGGCAGGTACGCATTCCTGCGTCTTGATGTTGTACCGAGACGCATAGTTGATTGGAATACGCCGCTCTGCCTCCTGCTCGGTGGAAAGGGATTAAGTTGTGGTGGTGGTGGGGTGGTGGGGGTGGTAGGGGGAGTGGGAAGAACGGAGAAAAGAGGACGGGGAATTTGAATTGGTTGTATCGAGACACATAGTTGACGGGAATACGCCGCTCTGCTTCCTGCTTGGAGGGAAAGGGGTAGTGGATAGGGTAGAGGGTGGGAGGGGAAGGGGAGGAGGAGGGTAGAAAGAGAGTAGAGGGTGAGATGGTGCATGGGGTTGGTTGTACCGTTATGCGTAGTTGATGGGGATGTGACACTCTGCCTCCTACTCGGAGGGAAGGGGGAAGTTGGAGCTGGTTGTAGCGGCACATAGTTGTTGGGAATGCGACTCCCCGCCTTCCTGCTCAGAAGGCTGGCAGGCAGGCCGGCAGAGAGGCATAGAGCAGGGAACCCACCTGCACCCATTCACACCCACCTGCACGTAGACAATCCCAAGGACGAGCAGCAGGAAGGAGGCCAGCAGCAGCGCCTCGCCGGTAACGTTCCCCTGCTCAGACGCCTCTGTGATGCAGGTAGGCAGGCAGGAGGAATATAGCACACCCATCCACACCCATCTGTACCGCACCCACCTGCACGTAGACGATGCCGAACACGAGCAGCAGGAAGGACGCGAGCAGCAGCGCCTCTCTCCGGTCACATTCCCTTGTTCAGAAAGCCTCTGTGATCGTCCTCCCAATGGACGCCGGCAGGTAGGAAACGATATTGGTGAAGATGAGCAGAGAGGGTGCCGTTGCCGAGCTTGAGATCAGTGATCTTGTCTCCCAGCAGGATGACTGCCACGGATCCCAAAGTGAGGCCCGAGACGGCGGAGACTGCCCAGGCGGACCGACGGGTCGTAGGCGTACTGCTGTAGATATGCCACCTGTCCGATAGCCTGGAGGAGGGCGAGAGGCAGGGAGGAAGGGAGAGCTTGAGGTGGGTGATCCTGTCTCCCAGGAGGATGACTGCCACGGATTCCGACAGTCAGGCCTGAGACGGCTGAGACTGCCCAGGCGACCGAGGGGTCGTAGGCGTACTGCTGCAGATATGCCACCTGTCCGATTGCCTGGGAGGAGGGCGAGAGGCAGGGAGGAAGGGAGAGCTTGAGGTGGGTGATCCTGTCTCCCAGGAGGATGACTGCCACGGATCCGACAGTCAGGCCTGAGACGGCTGAGACTGCACAAGCGACTGATGGGTCGTATGCGTACTGCCTGCAGGTAGGCCACTTGGCCGATAGCCTGGGGAGTGGAGGGGGGCAGGGAGGAAGGAGAGCTTGAGGTGGGTCGGTGATCTTGTCTCCCCGCAAGTGGGGCGACTGAGGGGTCGTATGCGTACAACTGGAGGTAGGCCACTTGGCCTATGGCCTGGGGAGTGGAGGGGGAAGAATAGGGTGGGAAGCGGTGGGGTTGGGTTGAGGAGGGGCGACTGAGTGGTCGTTATGCGTACTGCTGGAGGTAGGCCACTTGGCCGATAGCCTGTTGGCAGTGGAGGGGGGCAGGGAGAAGGAGAGCTTGAGGTGGGTCAGGTGATCTTGTCTCCCCGCACGATGACTGCTACGGACCCGAGGCGCTCGTAATCTAGTAAAGACAAGAAGAATGTAATGAAATCAGGTAACGTACCTGCAGGGCACCGAACGCCACAGCCATATACTTCATGTACTGCTGCGCTTTCTTCCTCCCCGCCCTCCCCCTCCTTCTTCTGCAGATCCCCAATCTTAGGGTACAGCGTCCCCAGCAGCTGGAACACGATCCTGAGCGTTGATATACGGCACGATGCCCAGCCGAAAAACAATCCCAGCCGTCCAATCCCGCCCCCTGAGAGCGTTGTCTAGGGTGGCCAGGAATGAGCCCTCCCCCAGTTGCCTCCTGGAAGGACGAGATATCGACGCCCCACAGGGAATGTAGATTCCCACGCGGGATAGCGCGAGCAGACCCAGGGAGCATGAGGGAATTTCTTGGGTAAATCGCCCTTGAAAAAGTCGCCGATGTCGATCTTGCTGTCCTCCACTGGAAAAGGTGGTGCGGGTCAGGTCAGGGGAGATGGTGGAAACGGGAGGCAGAGGGGGAGAAAGAGGAGGGAGAACAAGGCAGAGAAAGGCAGAGAGAATATAGTGGGAAGGGGGGAGGAGGGATGAGGGAGAGATTGAAGCAGGGGAGGAAAAAAGGAAGAGGGAATTCGGTTTAGTCTTTTTTTTTTCCCTCGCCCCCCCAAGTCCCCCAAGTCCCCCCCCCCCTCCCCCCCACCCGGGGGGGGATGGAGGGTGGGGGAGAGGGGACAGGGGGGACGGAGGGGTGGGAGGAAAGGAATAACATTCTGATGTATGTATTGAAATAATATCACAATCAAGAATCACGGAATATTCTCTCAAAATTCAAGCTAGAATCAGCCAACCAGGCTTTGTGACTGTGACTGTAATGAAGGTGGCTGTAATGAAGGCGACTCGACCCGGGGGTTACTGCAATGAAGGCGACTCGACTCGGGGGTGACTGCAATGAAGGCGACTCGACTGACGGGGGTGACTGCAATGAAGGCGACTCGACTCGGGGGTGACTGTAATGAATGCGACTCGACCCGGGATTGACTGTAATGAAGGCGACTCGACTCGCGGTCGGCGGACTATAACCAAGTTCAGGGCGGATGGCCAGCCTCCTGTCAAGAGAGCATGCCACGTCAGCACTTGTTGCCACGTCAGCAGGACCTGGGTTGAGGTAGGCCTGGGTCCGGTTCGGGTATGGGCTGCCTCACGTCTCTGCCCCGGGCCTCACGTCTCTGCCCCGGCCTCACATCTCTGCCCCGGGCCTCACGTCTCTGCCCCGGGCCTCACATCTCTGCC